CTCACTGTCCACACTAGCTGGGAGTGATGGGGACTGAAGTCCAGAACATCTAGGCACCACACATGGCGCTGTTATGCCCAAGAATTGTGCGTGGCTCCACTCTTTGGGTTCACCAGGATTGCATCGCTGATAGCACCCCAGCTTTGATCTCCAGCATAACCAGTGACGGGCTGTGCAAGTACGAAGATTGGGAAGAAAGTCTTTTATGTCTTGAGGCTTGTTGGTCTGATAAGATAGCATTCTATCTTCATACAAGCATCTTTTAATTCCATGGACAGTGGGTGAGACCGGAAACAAAACGTTGCGGTGATAAATGCTCCAGTTTGGGATTCTAGCCATCCATGCGTTTCATTCCCTGGCTACTCCATTCCAGCTCTCCCATTTTTCCGTCCCCCATTCCTTCCCAATGCCTATTCTGTGGCCACTGTGCCCAGTTCTCATTTAAAAAGCTTTTGTCCTGAAAGGTGGCCTAGAAATATTTTGTTGTTCTTGTTAGTTGCAAAGTTGCGTCCGACTCATCGAGACCCCATGGACAACATTCCTTCAGGCCGTCCTGTCCTCCACCATCCTCCAGAGTCCACTTAAGCTCATGCTGACTGCTTCAGTGACCCCATCTAGCCACCTCATTCTCTGCCGTCCCCTTCTTTTGCCATCAATTGTTCCCAGCATTAGGGTCTTCTCCAGTGAGTCCTTCCTTCTCATTAGGTGGCCAAAGTATTTGAGCTTCATCTTCAGTATCTGGCCTTCTAAAGAAATATTTTAAATAAATACAAATAAATGAACTGGGTTTTCCCTTTAATGTTCAGAACTTCAGCAATATTTCAGTAACAAACCTGCTAAAACCTCTCTCTTACGAGTAGATAGGGCCATTTCCCTGATAGGAAAATTGCAAACTCAATTCCCTAAGTGTCAGTGAATAGGCATGAGGGATTACACATCCTTCTGGAACTCCCATAATGCTTTGCTGGTACACTAAGCTGAGCAAGGGATGTGGGTCCTGTAGTCTCTTGCTGGAACTGAATGAGGCTTCCTACACGTGTCTTAATTTTGTGCACTTTTCTTTCTTGAATTGCAGCCTGCCCTCTTCCATCCCAGCATTTTGAATAAGGTACAGCTGCAGGAGCTCATCTGTGAAGAGGGCACATGCCTATCATTTGCTTTCACTGCATCATCCTGTCACGCATAGTTCAATATTTATCTAGGCGAGTGCTTCAGCTGACCTCGATTCTGTAATTTAAATGGATGGGGTTTCTCACCCACCCCCCACTGTCTCCCTGAATTGATGAGCCAAGAAATGTGCTTGAATGAATTGGCACCATCTGGAGAGACCAGCATAAAGTTGTGGTAGAGGGTGGGGTGGTAGATGGGTGGTTAATGAGCCACGCGCAGAGACACTGGCTCTGACACAATTAAAATGACGGATCTGCTCAGTAACTTTCCATTGAATCTTTGTGTGCTGCCAGGTGACTTCCTCACCTGCTCCTTTACTCTTCTGTGTTCTAGACATTGTTGCTGCATGCGCTCAAGTCGTCTCTGACTTACGGTGATCTATGAATTGAAGCCCTTCAAAATGTCTTAAACTCCGGGCTGCGGCTTCCTTTATGGAGTTGATTCAATTCTATTTGGTCTCCCACTTCTTCTGCCTTTGGCATTCCCCAGCATGATTGTCTTCTCCAGGGAGTCTTGTCTTCTCATGATGTGCCCAAAGTCCAACAGCCTCGGTTTTGCTATTTTTGCTTCCAGGGCAAGTTCTGGCTTGATTTGACTGATCCACCTGTCAGTCCAGGGTATTGACAAAGCTCTCCTCCAGCACAATGGTTTGAGTGCATCTATTTTCTTCCTGTCAGATTTCTTGACTGTCCAGCTTTCACACCCTTACACAGTGAGTGTTCTACAGAAGGATTTGTAGATCAGTAAAACTCAAGGTCCTTGAATTCTCTGTATTCTGACTTGAAGTTTGTTCTGACGTACGCCTGTATCATATTGTGAGCTTTTTATTCTCTTCTCACGAAAATGTTTGTGGACCTTTCCCCAAATGTATATATCCACTTGCACATTTTTCAAAGCTATGCATTTCCATGTGCATTTTTTCAGATGTACACATATTTCAAATACATTTCTTGTTCTTACAAGCCCAGAAAATGTGCAGGCTTCACAAATTGTGTTCAGGTGTGCATTTGGTTCTGGTAGGTGCGTATTGGGAGGATTATGGTTAAACAAATGGAAATGAATTTCTCATGCATTCATAGTTGTGCAGTATGGGTAGGGGTACAGCAGGACCCCTGTATCCATTGTTTCAGTTACCACAGTTTCACTGAACTGCAGTTGACCTCAGTCCGAGACAGAAGTCATAAATGCTTCCTTTAAGTAAATGCTTTACTTTTCCTTTAAGTAAAAATTATCAATTTAATAGGGAAAGAAAAAAAATCACATGCTGAGGTTGCTAGAATGTACGGTAAGAAGGAATCTTCTATCTGTGCACATGTTAAAAAGAAAATGTGCAAGAACAGTATATAGCGTTCACTACTGTCGGCAGTTTCAGGCATCCACTAAGGAGCTTGGAACTTATCCTCATGGGTATGAGGGTCCTGCTGTATTTTTAATGTGTCTTTTGGGTCCAGGGTACGATTCACAAGGCACATGATGCAGCCGCTTAAGTAGGTGTGGACCCAGTGGCTTGCCTGTATAAGAACCTGATTCAGCACAGCCTTGAATTCCAAGGGGAGGGACTGTAGCTTGGTGGCAGGGCCCATGTTCTTCATGCAGACGATCCCAGGTTGCGTCAACTCCAGGTAGGGCTGGGAGAAACTCCTGCCGGAAACCCTGGAGAGCTACTGCCAGCCAGGGTCAGCAGCATTTGGCTAGTTGGACCCACAGTCCGACACAATATAAGGCAGCTTCTGATGTTCTGTTATGGAAGAAGTGGGGGGCTGATGCTTCAAATCAAAATTTTTCACCAAGTTCTAGACTTGGATTTGTGGAGAAAACATGGGTGTCAAACCCTGCTGGGGGAAAGTCAGCTGTGGGGAGACTTTTGCACCCTGCATCTCTTTGTTTGTTTGCTTCAGATATTTCTGTCCTGTCTTTATCCAAAACAGATCTCAAGACGACTTACAGAACAGAAATGTAACAGCACTTTAAAAGTACAAACCCAATATATAAAAACAATACAATAAAATGATTACGTTATATGATAAAACAATCAACCCTTAAGCCAATCAACTCTATGTTACTGGTCTCTCAAAAGTCTGCCCTCCGAAATTCACATTGCAAGATAGTAGTGGTACTTGGGCTCCGCAGACTTGAGGGAGATGTGGAACCTGTACTTCCACTCTTAAGAAAAAAATAGAGGGAAAACAATTGGTGGGAAATTGGTGGGAAACCTTTTCATGGTAACCAACGAGGATGAATTAACATTCCTTTAAAAAGGAATGGATAAATTCAATCACTGAATTTATAGAACGTGTTCATATATATGAAGGTACACAACAAAAAATTGATTGACTGCATGGAGCCTGTTGTTAGGAAGATTCTACAGCTAGTAGGGGAGAAACCTGCAGCCCATGGACTGCATGTGGTCCCCAAGCATTATTTTGTGGGTTGGTATGTGAAGATCCAGCTGGAATCTGGCTTTCTTGTTCTTTCTGGACTTCTTTCCTATACTTATCCCTGATCAGGAAGCGGATCAAGCTGAGATCAAATCAAAGCATGTTTGATAATACTGGCAGACCCTTATTTGCACAATGTATGCAATGTACACAATTTGGGCAAAGTGCACAGGACTGTAAGTCACCTGTGTGGAAGCAGAACTTGCACAGTGGGTATGTGGGCAGTGCATGGTGTGTTTGTAAGCCACCCTTGTGGGCTTTCTTAGAATCGCTTCTTGCTGAACATCTATGAAATGCTTGGTATGAAGCAGACATAGAGTTGAGAGAAAGCAGGTCGCTGAGCCAAAGAAATCTGACTGCAAGGTACGACTGTGCGTCAGAGGCTGAAATTTTCCCAAGCAGTCCCTGAAGGTGCACACCCCAATACACAAACTTAGCTGGGAGTAAGTCCCACTGAATTTAGTGGAGCTTATGTTTGAGTAGACATGTATAGGATTGAGTGCACATGTATAGGATTGCAGGACATTTCAAGGGCTTCACAGTATTAAGGATGTTGCTGTGTCCTTTAGATGGAGGAATACTGAAAGATAAGGAAGAGCTCGTGGCTAGTTTACTTACGTCAACAAAGACAAAGGTTGACAGAGAATGGGAAACAGTCAAAGGTCATACAGTTTGGAAGAATATGGACGAAAATGTGGTGAAAATGACTCATTTTTGTGAATTTAGGAAAGACTGAGAAACTATTAAGACCTTCCTCTGTAGCTCAAATTAGTTCTGTATTGACAGAGGAGCTTCCATCAAGAAGACATAGATGTCTATGGATAGATAAGCGAATGCTTGTAGGCCTTCCCTGGGTTGAAAGTGTACATGTATACTAGAATTAACCATAGTCAAGCCTATTCCCAGTGTCTAAAAGCCAGCACAGTTTCTTGAAGCCAAGCCAAGGCCTAGGGCTTTCAGCTTGTAAGGAAGAAACTGACTTGAAGCTGCATTCCCGAAGTTGATTACTTAGAGAAGAGCTGTGAAAACCAAGATTGTTTGCCTTACTTACTGAAGCAGTTTCGCCCCTCATCCTGTCTCTCAGGAAGGCAGTTGGAGCCTGTGTGTACAACTTCTGAACCAGTGGGAGACAAGAACAGCATAAAATCCATAGCAAGGAGGGTTGTCAGGGATTCTCAGCCTGCAGAGATGAATCACTTGCCCAGGCAACTTCGGAGAGCACAAACTTAAGACCTTCCTCTTTAGCTAAAATTAATTAAATTATTTTTGCTGTCAGTTTTTGAAAAGGCATACTTAGAATGAAAGAGGTTCATCAGCTTTGAATTGGATTGTGACTGCTGCTAGAAAACAAATACCTATATATTTTTTTAATTTTGCCTTTTCCACCCCAAGAGACTACAAGTACTTACCGCACACCTCTTTATGGTCAGCCATCATGGTGGGGAGAGGATGATACTAATAATAAGTTCGAATCAACAGATGACCGGAGGCCAGAAGAACAGTATTCAGGTAAGTCAGGTTCCTGCTCTCATAACAACAGGGGTGTAAAACTCGAAGTGATAGAAACCTCTCCCATAGAGGTTATACCTCTATGACATTTCTCTGTAATCTCGCCTTTATCCTAGTGATCTGGCCAGAATGATGGAGGTTGCACTCCAACATATCTTGAGGGCACTCAGTTGAAGAAGGCTGTTGTAATCCTTCTGTGCTTTGTCATATCTCAGTATTGCTACAGGAACTTGTGCATTGCTGTCTGGACCGTGGGGGCACATGGATCGTACTGACCAGTTGCACAATACACAGAAAGTACAAAGGCTTGCAGAGAAATGGTGCATCACAGTAACCTTGGAAAGCCTTTGTACAAGAATTTGGGTTTTTGAGAGGAATTTTTAAGCAGGAGCTGGAGTTGGTTTGGCTGAAGGAAGCCACAGAAGGGACAGGCATTCCAGGCATGGAAAGATACATAGCTGAAGGTCACAAAGATGGGTGCAGCAGAATGGATGAAGGCAGCTGCGGGGGCCAGGAGAGCTTTCACAGAATTCAGAAGATCAGAAGGGCAGAAAGTGTGATGGGTGAGGGGCAGAAAAGGGAAGAACAACAAGGGATCTTCACAGAACCTACAAAACTGTTGATAGCTATAATAAACCAAGGCTAGGGAAGAATAAAATATTTACTGCAGCTGAATGACTTTTGAAAGTTTTATGTTACACAGATAGGTGCACATTTCTAAACTGAAACAAATACTATACATTTCTGGAATAGCTGTTTCCAAGATAGAGGATGTCTTCCCTCCGTTTTGTAAAGGCTAATTCTACCTTTTATTTTGTGTTTTGTCCCCTCCTCTCTCTTTTGTTGTTGCTTCAAAAGATTAGTAGTTTGTTGGATTTGAATGTAATTTTTAAAAGATTATATTCAAAATGGATGAAAACACTTTTGCAAAAGTAAATAGAACTGAAACACATGCGTACACACAATACACACAAAGTTCCCTGCTCTGACATTTGTTTATTTGTTTCTTTATTTAAAACTTTTCTAGACTGTCCCATTACTGAAGTCGCAGGATGGTTTAACAATACAAAATGTAAAATTAAACACAGCATCCTAAACATTCAACTAACAATAAAACCCCAGTTAAAACAATTAGGTCTTAAAACATTGGGAAAATAAAAAGGGTTTCGCTTTTCAGAGTAATGTTTCTTTTGTCCACCGAGGGTCATGATGTATTCACCAGAAGACTGATTTACTAGTAAACGTCAGACATATTTTATTGCATTTATATCCCAGGTCTTTTTTGCACCAGGTAAAGACCACCTTGTTCTCCCAGGCATTGAAGAACTGCTTTTAGTGCTTTTTATCATTGTATTTTGTGATGTTGTGATGGTTGTATTTGTGTTGCTAGTTTTATCTTGATTGTATTTTGTGTTGTTTTTATTTTAATATTTGTACAGTATGTTTTAATGTACTGTGCACTGTCCAGAGAAATTTGGTCATTGGGTAGTTTAAAAGTACAAACAAACAAACAAACAAAGGCAGGAGATAGCAACCAGCAGATGATAGCAATATGGGTTATGTAAAGTCTTCCCAAGTTGGTCTCCAGAATAAACATTTGCAAAAATATTTAAATTGGCATTAAATATACAACAAGATGCTCTTGTTGTTAAATGTCAGTATTAATAATGCTAGTCTTTCTAAAACTGGTGTCTTGCATCGCTAGGCCATTGGACTTGAAGCAGCTTATCCCAAAAGAAAGACAAACAGAAAATGCAAGCTCTAATATCTAGCTAAAGACACAATCCTATGCATGTTGAAATGGAAGAAGCCCTGCAGCTGCCAGCAGCCCCCGGCCAGCTGGGAGTTGTAGAACTTTTCTCTATCTAACCATGCATAGAGTTGAACTCCAGAAGAATAAAAGGAGGCAACAGTGATCTGCACAATGTCTAAAACACAGCGGCCATATCAAGCTCTGCTTTATGCTGTTGCCTCCACTCCATCCTCATTGCTACCCTCTCCATGTTTTATCCCTTAGAAAGAACAAAAGACCTAGCCCAACACGAGGAAGAAATAAATGGCAACATCACTGGCTACAGAGATCCTCAAGGAGAGTCTGTCTATGCATTCCGGAGGGAACCTAGTTACTTTGAAATCCCAACAAAAGAATTCCAGCAGCCTGTGAAGTCCCCAGAAGTCCACGAGATCCCCACCAAAGACGTCGACACCCCAGCGCCGCCTGTCGTGCATAGCCACGCTTCTTTCACCATTGAGTTCGATGACTGCACCCCAGGTAAAATCAAGATAAAGGACCACGTCACCAAATTTTCACTCAGGCAGAGACGGAACCTTGGCAAGGAAGCTGCTCACGTGGAAATGATTTCGGCGGAGAGCAAAGTGGCTGACTGGCTGGTACAGAATGACCCGAGCCTCATGAGACGGCAGTCCCCCGGGGATGATGTATATAGTACCAAGAGTGATCTTCCAGTTCATGTCAAGACTCTGAAAGGTAAATGTCCGTGGTTTATGAGTTGCTAGGCGTGGTCTAGGATATTAGTTTGCCATAGATAAGAAAATGAACCGTGGATATTACAGGCATTTGGTTTGCCAAATCACACCCCATTTTGCTCACATCTAAGCCTCTCTGAATGTGGGTCCAGTTTGACCTGCTATCAAGCTTCCTTGGCTTGCTCTGCCATACCATGCTAAGGGGGACTGGGGCAGGGGGGTCTTGCTATAGGGCAGGAAAACTCAAGGGTGCACCACTTGATGGGCCCTGAGGGCTACATGTCCTCCTGGGTTGGAGGCCACACATGTCACACACACACACGAGACAGAGTAAACCTACATAAGCGCATGTGCTCATCCCAGTGATCCTGATACAAATTGTTCTTTCCTTCTAGCAGCAGTGAGAAAACAGTATTAGTGAATGTGGCAGCAGAAGGTTGCATTTAAGACCTTGGGGGGTCTGCAGGCCATGGGTTTCCACACTTAGTGTAAATGATTTCCAGCATGGGTTCATGGCATGTGTAATTTTCCGTGGCTCCCGACAAATCGTTTGAACTGGGAGACAACAAAAGCTACAACTCCCATAGAGCCCAGCGGTAAGTGTCATTTCTAGCTAAACAGAAGCCTTTAAAGCTTTTTCTGGCTTCACTGGACAAGGGAGGCATTTTTTTTTCCCCATGGAAAAACCCAAACAGTGGAATCCTGTGTGTGTGTGTGTGTGTGTGCGCGCGCGCGCGCGCGCGTGTGCGTGTGCGTGTGCATGGTGGGGTTGACTGGGAGAATGGAGAGCAGGGATTTGCAAGGAATCTGTTAGGTGCAGATACCTGGACTCTGATCTGCTTTGCAGTAACCCACAATCCAGTTCCCCAGCATGTGTGCCCGGGGTTTGTGGGGTGCTCAGCAGGAACTGGCACTGGAAATACCAGCTGGGGAAGCTTGCCAGTTGCATAACCAAGGCTCTGCGAATGTTCACAGATTTCCCCTTGGCTCAGCTTGCTTCACACAACCAGGCTGAGCAGGAGAGGAAGCCTGTGGATTCTGGAGGGAAGGATTGCAAAAAGGGTTGTGCCATCTATAACAGAGTGCTAAGATTGCCTGAGAAACTCAGGAATACCAAATGCTTCCAAATGAAGTAGCAAATGTGCACCATCCAGGATAGACCTAATTGTGTGCTAAACTTACAGTCAACAGACATGAAGATGGGACACAGAGTGACTCAGAAGACCCGGTAGCACCGAAGCCAGAAAAGGAGACTGCCAGCACTGACCACCAGGCTGAGCAAGGCAAGCTCCAGCGCCAAATTCGACGTGACCCCCAGGAAATGCTCCACAACCAGCAGGCCTTTGTCATAGAGTTTTTTGATGATGACACACCACGGAAAAAGAGATCACAGTCTTTCACTCACAGTGGCCACTCTGCCCAGAGTGAAGTGGATGCCACCTTGAAGGCCAAGGTCGAGAAACGCAAGATCACTGTGCCTGCTGAAAAACCAGGTAGCTCTGTGCCATCACCACATATGCCCACGGCTGGAATCAAAGGCCCAAGCAATTCTTTTACTACTCCGAGGGCTGGTTCCTTTAAGAGGGAGAAGACAGAGGAACGGATTAGCTCTTCCTTGTCCTCCACATCAAGGACGTCTGTAAAAAGTCATGGTAGTGTGGGGAGAAAGTCCAAAATCGCTCAGGATTTTGTTGCTGAGTATTTACGGGAGAGCTCTCCTGCTGGAAAAGCCAACACTGAGAAGGCACCTGCTACTTCTCTGCCACTAACCCCACGGGTCACAGCATCACCGTCAGCACCAGAACCGATCCCATCGCCATCTGTGGATCCTAAGTTGGTCAAAGCTCGGAAACATGAGGAAGAGGACAGCTTAAGCGAAACGGGCACATATACCATTGAGACCGAGTCGCAAGATAAAGAAGTAGAAGAGGCTCGGAAAATGATCGATCAGGTAAGCCCATCATGCATGCAAATGGAGAAGGTTGTATGCTTTTCACCTATTCATACTTTGCTTTATTTATTTATTTATTTTTCAATTTATATCCTGCCTTTTTCCTACAAAGGGCTCAAGGCAGCTTACATCATTCTCCTCCTCCATCTTATCCCCACGACAACCCTGTGAGGTAGGTTGGGCTGAGAGTCTGTGACTGGCCCAAAGTCACCCAGTTGGCTCCATGGCTGAGTGGGGACTAGAACACAGGTCATCTGAGTCCCAGTCCCATGCTTTTAACCACTACACCACACTGGCTCTCTTAATGGGACATCAGGGAAAAGGCAATTATCATAGTGATTGGTCTGACTCCTGCTCTAAAAGAACTTTCAAACCTCTTTGCCAGGCAAAGAGGAGGGACTAGAATCTACAGCTGAAATGCCAAAAGACAAGCCAGGCAATTGCTGAGAAACAGACTATGTCAAGTTCTCTGGGTAAGTTTGTTGAGCATGCTAATATTATGAGGGTGGACCTACCATCATCATTCCGAGGATCAAGTTAGGAGAATGGACCAACTGAAAAATGATTGGTCCTGCAGCAGGAGGACCCACCTTGAAGGTGTGGCTTGCTCTTGTCAGTCTGGACGGAAGGAAGGGTATTCAGTTTGCAGTCAGCTTCCAGTCTTAATCCACATTTCCTTAATGGCCAGTAGTCTGACTGTGCTTGTTTCTTTTGTAATGGACTTCTTTGTACCATAAAGTCAGCCTAGCTAGTCAGGTTTTACCTAAGAACATTTTTTAGTCAAAAAGTCTTTGTTCTGGTCTGCCTGGAAGGAGGGGACTGGGGGTGGGGGGTGGGAGACAATGGCCTGACAGAGCAAACACTTGTGATCACTTACCTACATTTAGCAGATGAAAAGAGGGCTGTGGAGTGCCACAGTCCTGGCTGTTTTGTTCTTGTCCATGAATTCTGTCCTTGACATCTGGTTAACTATGGTTCATATTAATCAGGCTCTCTCTTCACCAGGTTTTGAACCTTGGTAGGCTATTCAGACTCTATTTTGTATTGGAAGCCCAGGTTAACAAGCCGAGGTCACAGCGATTGCAGATGGAACTCCTAAGGGAAGGGCAAGGGGATTCTTATGAAAGAATGCCTTGGTTAGAAAAGAGCAGCTGCAGCCTCTTTCTAACCTGTAATTGTGATCTGAGATTGGGAATATCATGGAAACACTGAAATGAAATTTTGCAGCAAGCTAAGTTAGCGGTGTTGCATGGGAGCTGAACCCAGACTGCCTGGGGTTTCAGTCTGGCCCTTCGGGTCTCACTAGAGGGCAACAAAGCTTTTCTTCATAAGACCAGGTGGTTCCCACTTTCCCAAACTGCCAATCTCTTGACTTTTGCACATTTTTACCCTATCCTGAGACGTTGGGATGTCTCTCTTAAAGGCTGGTTATTTTAGCAGCACGAGCTAAAATGGACTGGTATTTGGGCCTCATCCACTTTTACATTTGGCCCTGCCCCTTTGCCTTCAGCCCCACCTACCACTGGAGTGGGACTTCCCAAGAGCATCTCTGAAATCAAAGTAGGTTGTCAGATGAGGTGGCAAACCTGCGTGTGGGCTGCATCACTTCAGACTGCACATTTGGTTAGACCTAACAAAGTGCATCTTCCTGTACATGGGAAAGCACGACAGTTCTGCAAGAAGAGGTGGTTTGTGTGCTCTGCCCTGCCTGATGGATCCCAGGTTGTACTGGTATTATTGCAACAGCCATTCTGGAAATCAGCATTTTGCTTTATTTTGCTCTCATCTGACAGCTTCTTCCAGGCAGGCTATGAGTGTGGAATATTTTATTTATTTATTTGCTTACTTTTAATTTTTCCTATTTCTTATTTCATTTTATACAGCCCAATAATCAAAGCTCTCTATTTGTTATTTTACCTGTTCTCCAAGGAATTCAAGGTAGCTTCCATAAAATTTCTCTCCTCCGTTTTCTTATAACAGCCCGGTGAGGGCGATTAGGTCAAGAGTCAGTGACTGGCCCAAAGTCACCCAGGGAGCTTCATGACTGAGTGGAGAGTAGAGCCTGGAACTCCTAAGTTTCAGCCCAGCGCTCTAAGCCCTGTGCCACCTCAGCTCTCTAGTTTTGCAGGTGGTGAATGCCTTTTGTCACTTATTAACCCACTGCAGCCCTTTAAGGTAGTTTCAGGGACAGCTGACTGGTTCCAGCTTATTAGTTTAAATTGAATTATTTGTTTAATTTTGTTTATTTTGCATTTACATCCCACCTTTTTTCCCTCTTGTGGGGAACCTGAGGTGGTTTATGTGTTCCTCTTTACCACCAAGTTTACGCGGACAACATACTTTGCAAGGTGGATTAGGCAAACGGTTCATGACTGGCTTCAGATCACTGAATGAGCTTCAGGGTTGAATGGAGACTAGAACCTGAATTTCAGTCCAACTCTCTAAACCAAGGATTATCACAATGGTGCTTTTCATTCACTGCATCTAAAGCAGGATGCTGTAGAACAGGAAAAAGTTCAGAAGAAGGAATCTAAAATGATCAAGGGGCTTGGAGTAACTCTCCTATGAGAAGTAGCTACAGCAGTTGGGGTTGTTTAGCTTAGAAGAAAGGTGAGGAAGGGGAACATGTTAGAGGTGTACAGAATGATGCATAGTGTGAAGAAAGTGGAGAAGGAGCCATTTTTCTGCCTTTCTCATGATGGTCTAAAACCAAGGGTTGTCCTATGAAGCTGATGGGTGGGAAATTCAGGGCAGATGCAAGGAAGTTCTTCACCAGAAGGCGGAGGCTGTCAAAAGCTACCAGTCCTGATGGCTCTGTGCTGCCCCCAATATAGGCAATATGAGCAGGAGAGTGCTTTTGTCCTATGTAGTCTTGGAACAAGCAGTTGGTTGGCCATTGATGGACCTTAACCTGTTCAGCATGGCTCTTCATACATTTTTGCCATGCTATTGTGAAAGCATCTGTTGGAAATTGCTCAGTTCAGTGATGGCTCAAGTCAACTTCAATCCCAGCCTTTACCAAACTTGGTGCTTTCTAGAGGTGTTGGACCACAATTCACAGCTGATGCTGGCCGGAGATGGTGGGACTTGTAGTCCAACATGTCTGGAAGGTGCTGGGTTTAGGAAACTCATCCTAGACAAAGATATGTGCTACTTGCTGGTTCAGGGAGTCACTAGTCTGTTTTAAGTTTCCATATCCTCTCTTGGGTTCATCAGGTTTTTGGTGTTTTGGAGTCCCCTGAATTTTCCAGAATTTCGTCAGCCTTCCGGCCTGTTATAAAAGGTGAAAAAGATGAATTGGGGACCCATCATTTGATTGGTGAAAATGGATCGAGCCCAAAGGTGACAATGATGCAAGTCATCGCTTCTAAAGTGGCCAGTGGACATCACGCAGACATGCAGGTACAGTCAACATGGGAGTGCCGGTCCTTTCCACTTCTTATTTTGTTAAGTACATTTGGTATGTATGTACTCTCCTTATTACTCTAGAGAGAGACCTGATAATATGTATACAAAACCTTGCTAATAACAATCAAACAATGATTACGCTATAAATCATGGCACAAACCTGCCAGGTGGGCGTACAATCTAATGGGACTGTAAGATGTGCTAAAACAGTGGAGACATAATGACTGAGTCCATTCCAGAGATCTGGGATTGAGATTTCAGTGCTCGTCATAACTTGTTACACCCTTTGTAGCGTGTTACCCCACATTCTCCCATGACTTGTAGAAGCAGAATAAATTATACTCTTAACTCTCTGGAAATTTGAGTAGATGATTTTGTGCTTATCTGGCATATTCTCAGCTGATGTTTCTGCAAGCTTTATAAATTGTGCCCATGCTGATATAAGATCATATGCTATGGCTGACTTGTCCTTTTGCAACTTGCATTTGATGGGCAAAATTTTTTCTTACCATCTCATTCCCAACTTCGTCTGTCCTTAGGTAATGGGTTGTATCCAGATATCTGTTCAGTGGAATCCTGCAGATGCTGAGGGAAAGGGGAATAGGAGAAAATTGCCACCTCTCTTCTGCCAGTGCAAAACTTCTGCTGGATCCTGGCTCTCTTTGTGCATAGAAGGAGTCCTTCTGATCATAGTGGGGAAGTCTGACTGAATCCAAACCCATAGCAGTTCCTTTTGAAACTCTAGCTGTAACCACAGCTGTTGAGGACAACAAAATGCCCAAATGATGGCAGGCTTGATGGAAATGCAGTTTTAATGGTGTGGGACTTCCCCTCTTGGTCCTTTGCAGTTACCAACATCTCAGAGTGGACAGAAATGGGTGTCCAGATGGGCGAGCCTTGCAGATAGCTATACAGACTCAGGATCTGCAGCTGGAGTGGGGGATGCCCATCAGCCAAGCTCCCTCTCTCAGGCTGTTGCAGGTAAGCACAGCAGCTGGTGTGGTTCTTGCATTACCAAAGGAATTAAGAGAGGAGTTTATAAGTCAGTCTGATTTTATCTTCCTCCTGTTGCATTCTGCTAACGCTATATTCTAGTCTTACAATGCATTGTTCTAGAAAGGGATGATAACTTTCCCAGAAAGTTTTTGTGATGAAGGAGAGAAAAATGCAAGGAGCAATAGAGGGTAGCCTTCCCCAGCCTGGTGTTCCCTTGATCTGTTGAACTGCCACTCCCATATTTTCTTTGCCAGCATAGACAGAAGACATGGGAGTTGCATATAAGAGCATAACAAAATAAGAACATAGGTAACACCTGTGTAAGAACATAAGAAGAGTCATGCTGGATCAGACCCAAGGTCCATCTGGTTCAGCACTCTGTACACACAGTGACAGACCAGCTGCCCACAGGATCCCTCCAGCAGGATGGCTGCAAAACACCCACTGCCCAAGTTCCTCAGCAACTGGTGTAGGCAGGATGCCACTTCTGGTAAAGGAGGTAGCACATAGCTAGCAAGGCTAGTAGCCACTGCTAGCCGCCTCCTCCATCTGGAGGGCACCAGATTGGGGAATTCTGAGAGTGCTTAGCAAGCTGTATATCTTGTGTTGGTGGTAGCTCCCCAAACGTCAGACTTACTGTGTATCCTGCATGTGTCACGTGACTGAAAATTCTTCAGAAAGGAAAGTGATGTTTTTAATCATCAACAGTAGTTTATATAATAGCCTAACAAATGGAGCTGTCACAAGATGCCATGTAGTAAAAATTGGTGCTTTTCATGGAAACCATTTGCAGCTCTGGTGGAGTTAGTTAGAAGCTCTTTATGATGCTTGAAAGATGCTTTTCTCAACTTTCTACTCTGGGAGAAAATGGAAACCAGGAGAGGCTTGAATGGGTTTTTCTAAAGTCTTATCCATGTTAAACATTTTTGAAATTACAGTAAATGCGCACAGATAGTTCTCAGTTATTGCCTTCCAGCTTGTGCATAAACTCCATTTCCCTTGGTGTTTGGGGTGCCCTCCAGATGTACTGGATTACAATTTCCAACTTCCTCCAGTATTCAGAATGCTTAAGTTGGATCCAGAGTAGGTTAGTTGAACTTCTGTCCCACTGCAATCAGTCAGACTGGAGCCATGGCCATCTAGTCCTGTCGATTTTAAGAAAATGTTCAGCTAAAGATACTGTCCAATATTAGCCATGACTAACTAAGTCTCATTCATTTCATTGTATGTAGGACATTGGATATAGGCCTTCCTCTAGCTCTAGCCCATTGTATTTTAACATCTTGTTAGAGTGTGCGCTATGATATGGATTTGTTGGATCTCTGGGGGTTTTTTTAAAGAAAAATGTGAATTTGATATTCTTTGTACCTTTAGGATATCCAGTACAAACCAGCATTTCTACTCCCCAACGCCCTTTGGGCAGTAGTGACAGTTATTTGTGTGTGTGTGTGTATAAATATATGAAATATATAATGAAATAAATAGAGAGAGAGAGAGAGACAGACAGACAGACAGACACACAGACACACACGTGATTGCAAACAATGTACCTTTCCCCCATCCTTTCCTCACTGTGGTTTGGATCAAACCTTGTTGTTCCACCAGTGTTATGTTGCAATTTATTTCTTTACCCCCTTTCAGCCAAAGGATCCCCAAAGCGATTCAGAAAAAAATATGCAAATACAATATTTAAACAATATAGTAAGTACAAATTTAAAGCAGAAATACCAGAATGACTAGTTAAAACAAACAAACGCCAAAACCAAAAAGCATCCTGAAGCTTGAACAAACGATCTTTGTATCCAAAAGCAAAACTCTTAATCAAAAATGCCAAAGGAGGCTGCATCATCGCCATCTCCTTAGAAGGATTCCTAGGCCCAGTAGATTGAGAGGAGGTGATTTTTTTTTTTTTTTTTTGAGCATCGGTTGGATCAGTGTCCCTCCCTTGAAGGAGTGGCTCTCAAGCTGTAGGCCCAGCCTCGCACGTAAGGTATCCAGGCATGGCGATGGTGGAGGGAAGCATGTGGACTAGCTCGCCTCGGAATGAACAGCATCTCTCCCCTGAAGCAGTGCCTCGTGGGAGCTCCCTGCCCACTCCTCATCCCTGCAGCCCCCCATGTGCCCTCCAAGTTGGCTGTTGGGGACTGGGGGATCTCCAGGTGCAGGAATGTGTGTTGCAAGAACAAGAAGATGGGGACTTCCTGACTGACAAGTTCTGTCTGTTTTGTTGTTGGTTCTAATGCCCTTCCAAGTTTGAAAAGATGTTATTTTGTTTTTCTACTTTAGAAGTTCAGCTGCTATCATGGGCATTGCTAATAGAACTTTAAAAGAATGTCTTGACATTCTGGTAATGCCTGATGTCCCCTTCCCCTCACCAAACCACCATTTTTCTCCCTGTTTATTTATTTAGAATTTTTGTATCCTGCCCTTTACTGTGTCTTAGGGCAGCGATAACATAAATAAAGAAGACACAGCATCACAATAATATATAAAACCAACATAAAAAATAATACTAACTTTTAAAATGCTGGGGAAATAACAAGGTTTTGGCCTGGCGCCCAAATGAAAAGTGTTGGCACCAGGTGCACCTCTCTGGGGAGCCACTCTTCTGATCTTCAAAGAGGGCTCTCAAAGGAGGACCTCTGTTCCAGATTTTAGAGGCCAGGCGGGTATATAGGGAAGGAGGCGCTCCTTCAAATAGGCTGTTTGTTCACCTGTTTGAAGGTTGTTTGTTCACCTGTTTGTTAAAAGTGAGGTCATCCCTACAGCAGCAAAGCTATCCACTCTCATGTATAGCAGAGATACTTCTTGGCTGACACCAGCTCAGGTCTACTGGTAGCAGTGTCCTGTTTGCGATTTTTAATTTATACTCATTGTGTGCAAAACAGCTTGGCTGGACTTCTGCAGCATTCCTGCAGGCAGAGAAAGGTGACAAAGGAAGATGGCTGTGCTTGAATTCATACTTTCAGGGAAATGGCTCCTGCTGCTGCTGTCACAAGTCCCTTCTCGGCTATCCATCCCTACTTAGGGTAGCCCAGAGAGGAAACCAAAAATGGTTTCAGAAAGAAGGGGCCTGGCCCGTGGTTCCTTGTGCCAAATGTGACACCAGGATCCTTCCCAGTGGGAAGCAGGAGCTGGAAGGGACCCCCTGGGGTTCAGGGGCCCTGACAACTGCTTGCCAGGCAGCTTTTCCTTTCTCAGTCATCTGCTTTGGACTGTCCCAGTGGATCCCGTATAAGCAGTTCTTCTCTTACACCTGAGGGAGACACTTAATAAATGTATATCATAGTGCATCGCAACATGTATCAATCCAATAATTAACCTTGCTGACTTTTAATCATAAAAATGGTCCTTTCATCATTCTTAGATAAGGACCCTGGTTCCAGGGTGGGAGAATCTGAGAGCTGCATGGTGTCGCGGACAAGGCGTCTTCTTCCCCCACTCCCTCCAGGTGACAAATCTGAAACTCCACCGCCAACCATTTTAATCTGTCAAGAGCCCTATTCTGATGTTTCCCAGAGGAATGCTGCCAATGCCCATGGGGGAGAAATCTACGTGGATCCTGCCAGCCGGCTGATAATTCAGGAAGATTTAGATCCTGACAGCCTCAGTGATGCCAGCAAATCTGATGATGGCTTCAGCTTGGAGAAAGGCCGGAAATGCCATGATGGCACCAAAATGTCTGAACAGGATCAGGGAAGGGCCGAAAGTGCAAAAGCCAAAAGTCATCCAGCCACAGTGTCAAGGCTTCTGGGTCTGAGAGGTTCGAGTGATCCCCTGTCAACATCTTTTTATATTGGTGATGAAGAAGAGGAGGGAAGAGTTCCTTCAAAGCTTCCTTCAAGCACCACTCCATCTCGGATGGACAAAGAAGAGGCTCCTTCCAAGTGTGGGAAGGCATCCATTAATAAAGGCATTAATAATAGCTACGTTAGTTCAAATGGAAAAATGGTACTTTCATTGCATCAGGGGCTTCCTCTTCCAGAAGAAGAAGTTGTAGCCACAAAAGAAGTGTCTTCTTTCGTTCGGCAGGAAAGCTTCACCAAAGAGAAATCAAGCAGTAGTGTCCCTCAGAACAGGCTACCGCACATCTCAAGCCACCCTCTGCTTAAAGATCTTGATGCTGCACGAGCAAATCGTATGGACTATAATCCAGACACCCACCTCCTCCTCAAAGACACTGAAACTGCTCTGGCAGCCTTGGAAGCCAAAATACTCTGCCAAAGCCAGCAGCTTGATGTTCCGGAAAGCACCCCAGGACAGTTAGAAGACTCCTTATCTGGGGATTCTGATGTGGACACAGCCAGCACTGTCAGCGTGGTGAGTGGCAAAAACATGCCAACACACCCTCCAAAGCGTAAATCTGGCACAGCCCTGCAAAAAGAGAAGCCTTCTTCCACGCCAACTGTCCAAGACCAGAGTATTCAACCAAGCGCCCGTGAAAGGCTTTCAGAGAAACGGAAAACCGTTCCTCTTGAGACAGGAAACAAAGGTGAAAGCGTAAAACGTTTCCAAGGCAAGCGTGGCACAGGGACAGGTGGGTCTCTGGACTACACTGATGATGAGCGAAGTACGAACCTTACCTGTTTAGCAGCAGGTGAAGCAGCCTCCTCTGACCAAGAACAAAACTCCTCAAAGCTCATCTCTAGAAAAAAGCCTTTCTCACAGTCCACCAAAGAAGAACACAACAAAGTGACACCCACGGTGCAGAAGATCCAGCAGGTTCTCACGCGATCAAACAGTTTATCTACCCCAAGGCCCACAAGAGCCTCGAAGCTTCGCCGTGCCCGCCTGGGAGATACTTCGGATAATGAGAGTGCTGATACTGAAAAAACGAAGGAACACGAAGGAACATCGGTACCTTCCAAGCAGCCTGTGGAAACCAAAAAGTTGTCAAGGCTTGACATCCTGGCAATGCCACGGAAACGGGCAGGATCCTTCACGGTGCCAAGTGACTCCGAGAGCACCCCACCAAGACCGACGTTTTCTGGACGCAGTGCAGAGTCGTATTATTCCACCCGGAAGCCACCTGTGTCAGAAGCCCGAAATGCTGCTCGGAAAACAGCTGCGGCGGTCGCGGCTTCTAAGCAGCCTTTTAGTAGGACACGATCCAGCGGTGTCAAATATGCCTCTTCTTCCAGTGAGTAACTGTGTGTTGGAACTTTGCCTACTTTATGTTGTTTATAATTAGGAATTTTTGAAATCCTTTATCAAAAATATTCAAGCTAAGTGAGAAAATAATTGGGAGGTGAATCTATAACCCCCTTTGCATCAGAACTCCTTAGTATATTCCTGATTGGATAACCTACAGAAAATTTCCTCATCCTTTGATTTGTATCTCATGAATATCAGTTCCTACTGCAATGCAGCCTCCTTCGTTAGAGGCATTAATAACTATAATCTCTGCTTTTTAGCTCCCTCAGTTATTTGGTGGGCTGCAGCAAAGAGGCAGTGTGCTGGACTAGATGGACCTTTGAGTTAATGCAGCAAAGTCTTAGGTCTCCTCAGTGCCCATGTTTAATTGTGCTTCTTACATCCGCCTTGCCTTTTTGCTTTGATAAATAAGCATCTTTTCCAGGCAATCAGAGAGGGAAATATGCAAAATAGCAAGATAGTCAATCTTTTTTGGTCAGCAGTGTGCTATATAATAGCCAAATAGGTTGTGGTAGCAGGTACTTTTGAGTAGAAATTTTGTGGATTTCTTTGCAAGGTGCTCCCTTTCCTAAAGCCACATGTGCTGCTGAGAGATTGTGTCTGTGGATGTGGGGGACAGGGCAGATGCACAATCGCACACTTGCACACCACACGTGCCCCTGTTCACCCTCTGCTTATATCCCACCATTCTGCAGTGAGCGCAGGATGAAATTGCACAACAGGCATTAGTGGGGAGTTGCACGTGCTTTTCAGGGGGATAATTCCTGTCCTCTTTATTTAGCCCAAATGCAAATGGAGAGTGTTGGAAAAGGTTTTGGCCTGGGATACCCCGAGATGAAGAGCTTCATTGATTAGTTCCTTTGAACTATGAGCACCACTGCTTTTCCCTGCCTTGCTTGCCAATGTTTCAGATGCTTTTTCTCTTGAACAGTTTAAAAATGGCAGACGGCACTGTATTTTATACAAAGAATAATAAGATCGGCATAGCAGGGCTCATTATGGACAGCATCCAACACGGCCTGTGGTCAGTTGGAAGGGTGTGGTCCTGGGATTGTTTTCACTGGTTGGTCCCACTGGGGCAGCAGAATGAACAGAAGTACCTGATGGCACTACAGACCTCAGCTGGTTTAATTATTGTGAATTCCTTAACAGTACCCTGGTTTAGTGGTGCTGCCGTATCTTTTTCACGAGTCCCTCCACCCTAACCTTGCCTACTTCTTGTTACAGAATGAATTGGTTTTGCCTTCCATTGCTTTGCAGCTGCAAACTAACTGGGTTTAATGTAGAGTTAACGTGGAGAATCCTCACCATGATTACATTACTAACAGAACTAATTCCTTGGTAGGGGATGTGGACTTTGCGTTTAATCCACACAGGGGATTCTTTGTAGAATGGCTCATGGTATTTCAATATTTAACATTTGCTAATGACATAAACAGTCATATCTTTTTTGTTATGAATTAATGGGTAAAAGCAAAACAAAAAGGATCCTAAAATGGCGCAGGTTAATCACAGCTCTTTTTCTGTCAAATAACACTGTTTCAAATTGTTCCATTCTAATCTAGCCTTCCCCAGCCTGGTGTGTTGGGCTATAACTTCCAGCATCCCCAGCAAGCATTGCTGGCTAGGGATTTTGGAAGCTGAACGTACCTGGAAGATGCCAGGTTTGGGATGGCTACTCTAATCATTATGTTTGTAAGCCAGGAAAAGGATATTCTAGGGAAATGAAATGAGTACTTTTTGACCTGTGACTATCTCTAGCAAGGAGCATCTCTGCCCTAGGGCATAAAGGGTATTGCTTGTTAACTGTACAGCAAAATGTACAATGTAAATGCAGCAGGGCAAACCCAGGTAAATAATTAATGTTATCTACACCTTGAATATAATGAGTGCAATCATCAAATGGAGCTGCTCTGCTGGTTGAAGTTCTTGTTTTTTATTCACTGAGCTTATTCACACAATCAGGAACTCATTTGTCAACTGGTTTTAAATGGTGGATGAAGCAAGTTGAAAGTAAGGAAAGAGTCCCCAGATAATCAGGCTCTGCTAACTTGACCCTGTTTTTACCCTGAAGTCAAGAACCACCAAAATTTCTTAGCAGAGCCATCTCCTTGGATCTTCATAGATGTGATGGAATTCAAGGGAAGGGTAGCACAGAGTTGGCAAATGTACTTGGCAAGCAGAAGGCCCCACTTTCAGCCACAGGCATCTCCAGCAAGGGCTGGAAAAGACCCTGTCTTCTAAAGCCCTGGATAGAAAATACCGAGCTAGATGAACCATTGGTCTGATTGGGTCTGATTCAGCATTTTAGAACGCAAACACACAAAGCCTAAACTGCATAGCATTGTTCCATAGCAAGTGAAAAAGTATGTATTCACTGATTGCTCTCCAGTGTTTTAAAACTCTCTTCTAAACTTACTCTAACCCTTGAACTCTGCATTCACCTTTTGAATGGGGGAATGCACATAATCTTTGTCTGGTGCTATGGATTTACATTGTGCACCAGGGCACTAATCCAGTGCTGTTATTTGAAGAAAAGTGGAACAGGGCAACTCAGACTCCTTTGTAAAATCAGTTTGCCAGGAAAAGAGGTTTTTTCACACAGTGCATTACTGTAATGAATGCAATTGGCTCTAAAAAGGGGATTAGACAAATCTGCATGGAAGGTATTTATCAGTGGCTAGGTCATGATGACCAGGTAGTCCATATTCACAGGCAGTATTGTCTGGAAACATAGAAACAGAGTGAGTCAGAAGGGGTCTCCCTGGCCATCTAGTCTGACCCCTGGCTCTAGCTGATTCTGCTCATGACATGCCTACCATGTGCACGTACAATATGTTTGTATTATTGATTTATTATTACATTTATACCCCACCATCTTTCATCTTGCAAGGGACCCAAGGCAGCTAACGTGGTGGTGGTCCTCTCCATTTAGCCTCACAACAACCCTGTGAGATAGGTTAGGTGGAGAGTCACTGATGGGCCCAAAGCTTCCCAGTGAGCATCATGGACAGGTGAGGACTAGGCCAACACCCTGTGTGACACTGGCTGGCTGTCATTGAATAGGCCACTGAATATCAGTTGCTGGGGAAATACAGTGAATAAATCTGGTTGTGGCTACTGTATGTCCCTCTTGTGGACTTCCTGAAGACCTCTGGTTGGTCAGTGAGGGAAGAAGGATGCCAGGGAAGCAGTGGTAAGGCTGGGCAATTTTAGACCTTGGTCTTACAGTGGCTGTGATTTGACTTCAGTTATGAAGCAAGCACACAGCTGGCATCTCTGTTCTAATACCTCACCACTGTTCCATGTTCAACGACTACTTCTACATTTTCTACGGGTTAGAGAAATCCATCAAACAGAGAAAACCTTTGATCTTCAGTGCCATTTTCTTGGTAGAAAAGCAAATTACAACTCAAGTCCATGCATACATAACAAAACAAACAGTTTACCCAGCCTGATGAGGAAAGGAATACTCTGAACATGTGCAGTTCTATATTTAAAGAGACTATAGTCATGACTGCAGGAAAAAATGGAATTAATTTTTGCTGCGGACCATATTTGGGAAGAAACCCCATTTTGCTGAAGGAAAGAATGTATTCTGAAAGTAAAAATAATAAAGCCAGTGTCTGTAACCAGGCCTGCCCCACTGATTATCAAATGGTTTCTTAGCATAATCAGGAAGAAGAGATGCTGTGACGACCACAGGCCAGGTGTGCCCACACAGTCCAGGGGCTGATGCCAGGCCTCTTTGCCTGTTTTTCCATTACCTGCTGCTCTGTGGCTGGTTATTTGGCTCCCACCTGGGCTGCAGAGTCTTGGACTTTGGCCCTGACTAGCTGCACTTCTGTGGACTAGCTGCAACTTTGGCCTGACCGTGCAGAGCTCTTCTTATGTCATTCAGCCCAGGCAGATGCTGCCTAGCTCTTAGCTGTTCCTGTAGCTGGAATGGCTGAGAGCCATGTGGTGGTTTAGCTGGCATGTAGACCTCTGCTATTGGGAGGAAATGATCTCTAGTTCTTCCTGATCCAAGATCCTCACTTCCACCTTCTGGCTTCTTCCACCATGACATTTGAGAACCATTGGATTAAGGACACCACTCCTGATGCAAAGCCCTCCTTATAAAGCCTGTGTGTGTAAACAAGCCACACTCTCTGCTCCCTTGCACCTCTCAGAGGTACTTGGAAATGGAGCCATTTGAACAGAAATCTTGATCAGGGGGTGTCTTAACCTACTTAATTGTTTCTTTTGGGAACCTTCCGTGCATGTTGAATTCAGGGCACCACCATACAGTGGAAAACTACATTGGAAAGCACTCGTGTACCGGAATTAAAAGGAGATTCATGTAGTGCTGTCCATGTAGGAATGATGTAACATGTGGGGTAAGCCACAGTTGACCATAAATTGTATGCATTTTCTTGCAATAACAATAACAATCCATCAAATGACAAATCTCATTTATCATTATATATTCATTTGTGAAAATAAAGGGTAGATACAGGCACCATTTATATTCTACATTTCATCACACTTTGGCAGCTGATCGGTGGAACAGTTCTTCCTTCTTCCTGAGAGGCTGCTTCAGATAAGCCCAGCCTTTTCCAACCTGACTGGTGAAGGCTGGGACTTGTAGTCCAGCACTTGTGGGGAGTGCCACGTTGTGGGAAGCTAGATTTCGACCATAACAGATGAATGGCAACAGTTTGAGTTCTCTTTTTCTTATCGTAGCTTGGTTGCCTGCTTTCTTGTACACTTAGGCAAATGATGGGCTGGCCCTGCATTCTCAGGCATTTTGGACGGCAGCTCCCAAGATTTATTTATTAAAACATTTTTATGCCGCCCCATTCGCCGAAGCCTCGGGGCGGCTTACAACAAAAAGTTAAAATAACATTTTAAAATATAAACAGTAAAATACCAGTATATAATATAAAACATACAATATAAAACAAGCCGCCCTGGCCAAATAAAATTCAGTAATATTAACATTTAAAATACTGCTTAAATAAAAAGATTGCTGATCATGGCCCATGCTGATTGGGTTTAATGGGAGATGAAGTCCAAAACATTTGGAGGGTACAGTTTGGGGAAGCATAGACTAGCAAAAGAATAAAGTGGAATGGGACTGCGCTGCAGGCCCCACTGCCAATGACATGGCATCATCTCCCATCTGGAGGACTAGCACCTTAAGGGAGCTCCAGTGAAGTGTGAGGAGAATGTTACCACAGGTCAGGTGCAGCTGTGTGATGAAATATATGGCAAAAGGACACTTGCATCTACCCAGAGTTGGAACACTGACTACTTCGTTTTATTCATCGGAAGTTCTTTCCACTTGGTGGTATGCACAGAAGTCTTCTTGCCTCTTCTCTCCTCCTTGGGTCGTTTTGTGTTAGTGTTTGTCTTCTGCCCTTGTATAGCAAGTCTTAAAGTCCTCTCTTCACTTTTCTCCTCCTCCTTCACATTCCTCTTCACCACCATCCGAAACCAATTCATTTCTTACAAGCTTCAAGGCGGCGGCAGCTGGGCTCAGATTATACTTCTACCTCCGAGGAGGAGTATGGCTCAAACCACAGCTCCCCAAAACACAAACGCTCCCATACTTCAACAGCCACCCAGACGCCCAGGACCCGCAGCTCCGGGGTGAGCAAGCAGAAGCACAGCAACAGCAAGGAGACAGAAGATGAGGACTACGAGGAGCACGACCCATTCAGCTTCATGGCGCAGACGGCAGAGATCGCCGAAATCGCCAGGTGAGATGGCGCTGGCAGTACTTTGAGCGATGGGCCAAGCTCTCTCGCATGTGTGTGCGCATTGGTGAGGGAGAGTGGCACAGTCAGGTGAGGACTGATGATGTTTGGCCTGCCTTCGGCATGAAAAGAGCATGTAATAGTATGGTGCGAAGTAATGCAGCATGCAAGGTGGGTAGCCTGGGTCATAATACATGCTGGCATCTTCTTTTGGCTTGCTTTTTACTGGTGTCCCGTGTTCCTGGCCAATCAAATTACCCAGCTACAGCTCAAGAGCTTTTCTTAGCATTCTATGTATTAGTCATTGTTTGAGCTGTATATTATAAGTGTTATAACTGGAGGGCAGGTGAGAATGAGGGGCTGTATTGTAAAGAATACACTAGGAGCTGCAAGAGCTGAGATTACTAGTTCTTGGAAAATGCCCAAAGGCTCTCATTTCAGAAATATCTTGATAGACTGGTCAGTGGCACTGGTGGAGAAACTAACTTGTCACTTTCATTTGGCTAGAGAGGAAAGCAAGAAAGTTAATTTTGTAATAACCTGGTGTCCTGTTTTTAATATTTTTTCCAAGAACTTAATGGGGAAGATGGAGCTCCAATTGATCTGCTTAATTTCTGGGATAGTACATTTTAATCTGGTATAAAAACAAACTATTGATATATGTATTAATGCATCAGTGTGTGTGTGTGTGTGTGTGTGTGTGAGCACACGCGCGCACAGAGAGAATGTATTATTTGTACACATATAAGCTGTGTAGTGTTTATGACTCTATATAATGTACAGGGGGAAAAACCCTGCAGGGCAGGCACTCTTGTGCCTCTTTGCTTCAGCTGCTTCTTCAGGCATACAGAGCTGTACCAAGGTAAATTCATGTCTCACACTTCTCTAGAGGTAGGCCCCAGTGTAGTCTTCTTAACTGGGTACCTCCCCCACAAGATGCATTGGACTCAGACTGCCAGTATCTCCGCCCAGCTATCTTCCAGTCCCAGTGCATCTGGAGGGGTACCAGGGTCAGGAAGACTGCTTTCAGGGAGGGGGTGTATATGTGGGAGATCAGCCATGCTAGAGACAAGGCCTGGGCAGTGAGGTCCATAGAGGGAGGCCTGGCACTGCATTATTCGCAGTTGGTGGATAAAGCTTCTGTTTGTTCTCATCAACTGGATTGTGGTCCTCTCTGGAGAAGGATCTGCCTGCTTGAGCTACTGGGTTAGGTCACAAAGCTCTATAACAACTACATTCCATTCAGTTCTTTTTGAGAAAAGTGGTGACACACCCTAACTGTGTTCTATTCATTCATCTCTGGACCTTTTTCAGATGTAAAGGTGATGTGTGTAGGATGGCGACTTAAACTTCTTCCCCAAAAAAGGGAACCAATTTGGGCGTTAAATTTGTATATGCTAATGTATAATTAGCCTTTTTAGAAATGATAATTATTTAAATGGGATTGCAACACATCTTGCTGTAGTAGGCTTGTTGTGTGTTTGCTGTTTAGTCTGGGGGGCAGGGGCTGTCTCATTGCGATGAAGCACGTGGGTTGCATGTAGACCTTCCCAGTTCCATCCCTGGCTTCTCCAGGTAGGTTTCAAAAAGTGGAATCCTGGAGAACTGCTGCCAGTCAGTGTTGAATATGCCAAACTGGATGAACCAGCAGTCTGACTTCAGTATGATGCAGCTTTTTACGTTTCTGTGCTCCTGTCCAGGTACTAAGCATAAATAGACACTTTCAAAACCAGGGATTCTTTGATGGGACATGGATTGGATTGGATGGTCTCTCAGAAAGAGGATTGTCCTCTAAAGTAGGATACACGATCACCCTATATGTTCGGAAAGGTTGAGAGTGTTGGCTGTAAAAGCAGGAGATGGAGGTTCAAGCCCTCTTCTGTGTTACAGCTCATTGTAGGACGATGCTCAGTATTTGTTTTGAAACAAGCTCAGTGATTTTCTGGGAACTCACATTCTGAAAAGTGGTGGAAAGGGAGGGCTGAGGCGGGGAAAGGATGGTTAATGTAGTCCTTCTTTCTTCTCTCCTTTATTTCTTTCTTGCATTTGCTTTAGTCCCAGCAGAGACAACTCACCATGTTTGGGGAAAGTGTCACCAACAGTCACACTACTATTTCTTTCATGCAAATTGCACCTTCACTCTTGCCACCTTTTAGATGTTCAGAAAGGGGGACCTGGTCTCTGATGTGCTACTGAATGTTTAGTTTGGCCTTGAGTGGCCCTGGGAATGTTGCTGTCCCTTTGCCAAGCCTGTGCCATGGGGCTTTTGTGAGACAAGATGCGAAAAATATTGTGCTCACGCAAGTAATTATTACTGCAGTAATTACAGTGCTGTAGTTCATTAGCCATAATGACAGAGTTTCTACTGTGTGTGGTTATGATGGTGAAGCTTTTGCTGAAAAAGAAAATGAAAGGTGAAGCAGTGAGGTGTGGGAAAGGAAAATAATTGATATTAATAACAGAGGCTCTGCACCAGGACTGTAAAGTAGTGGATTAGCATCATACGCACACATTACTCCAACCTCACCCTTCTCCAGCCCGATGCCCTTGGACTTGTTGGATTACAACTCCAAATGTGCTGAGTGGGGGTGGTGGATGCGGTCCGATACATCTGGAGAAAGCTATATTAGATACACAGGCTAAATAGTGACGGCAGGAGGCTCTGAGCTGAGCACCTTTGGGGTTGTGGGGAGGGGGCAGTTTAACCCTCCGCCCATAGTCCTGATAAAAATTAGTCCCCTTCAAAGAGTTTCTTTTGGTGCTGTGGAGGAAACAGCTACCTTCTAGGGATGAATAGTATTTTCCAGAAGGGGTGCTTAAGGGACCATGGTGACTGTCAGGAGAGGTTATTCTCTTCCTTCTCGATGCATGTTATTTATTTATTGGATTTTTAGCCCAACCAATTAGCCACACTATTTGGGGGTGTGGCTGGTTAAGGAATGGTGAGATTTGCAGTACCTTTTCTATCTCAACATGTCTAGACTTGTGCCAAGAAATGGTTAAACGGGGTAGGCAACATTTGGGGCATATTTGGAAATCTGAAAACCTGTCCTGGGCACATCCCTGAAATAGCTACCACTGGTGGTCACAAAGGACATATCAGCTGTCCAGCAGTGTTCTTGAGAAATTCTTGAGGCAGCTTCAAATGGCTTTCACTTCACTTTGAAACAAACACAGACACCTGCAAAAAAAAGCCTTAAAATAGTCTTCAGAGGGACCAGTAGGCTGCTGCAGTGGGCACTGGGAAAGGTGCCTGAGGGAACGTTGATCTATGTAGTGGCTGCTTTGTCTACCCCTGACTTAAGCAATGCATTTAACTCTCTAGGTAGGACCAAAGGAGCTCCGTGTATGTGCAGAAGTCCCTCCCAGATTGGGCTAAAGGGACTTTTGACACCCAAAGCAGGTTTATTGTAGCATAAGTTTTCATAGGACAGCTGAAGATAGTTTGAGAAGTCATTGGTGTACTTGTATATTTTTATCCCATGATCACCTCTGGTCTAACAAGTTTTGCAGGTTTTTTTTAAACACGAACTGTGGGATAATTGCACGCAACATGGTTAAGTTTCCTTCTTCAAAACTGGGGGCAGGCAGAAGAAATATAATGTTTGGAGCACTTTTGAACAAGTGGAGGTGATTGTGTTAGGTTATCAGGGTTCCAGATTATGGGAGGATTGCGCTGATTTCCTGTCCAGACCTGCTCAAGTCGGGTTGGAGCAGGCAGGGCCACTGGGCATGGGAACAGTTCTCCTGCCCAAGTCCCCATACCGCTTAATTCTTTGAATGCTCAGAGAAGGCTGTGCTTCCTTGCTTCCGACTCACACATATGTGTAGTAGGAGAGTAACAGTAATTCTTTACATTACAAGCTGGTTGAATAGAACTCTTGAGATGTTCAGAAGTGTGCATGGTGTGGGAAAAGTGGACAGGGAAATATTTTACTTCCTTTCCCTGTAGCACTACAAAGCACCACATGACTACAGTTAAATTTGGCCCTTCTGTACTCCGTTACCACTGTGGATGGCATGTTACTTAAAAACAAACAAACATTTGTGGAGGCCTGACAGAGACACATTGAAGGCACATCCAGGCTGCCCGCTGCCCATACCTGTGCTAAAATATTTTAAATTTCATTTTAACCTGTTTCTATATCGCTGGTCATGTAGAACCTGTTTGACTGGTGTAGAGTAGTAAAAATATTCATATTACATTAAAACGGATAAAATGTATTACATGTAAGATTGTTGTAAGGCTTACTGGAATAATATTAAGCTGTCTGAAACATGATAATAATTGATATTACTAGACATTTAAAAATGCATATCAAGAGTGTTTCACATTCACATCGTCCTTATTATGAAACTGTGCGATTGTAGCTGAAGAAATTTGGCAAGGCTTACCCTGGCATTGTATACTTAAGAAAGGGGAAGCTGGACTTTACATTTATTTATTTATTTAGAGCATTTTTATGCCTCCCCGTTCGCAAAAAGCCTTGGGGCAGAGGCTTGGTGTGCTCTAAGTATTTGCTCCTCATGCCTTGCAGTTTGTCAGTCCTCCTAGATCTCCTAGATTTAAAATTGTCCTACATTTTAAAATTATTATCTGTTTAAAGAATAAATGGCTGAAAGGTTGGAGACATTTTGCATCCTTCAGTAGGCCATCAAAGCAGAAAAATACAACATTGCTTCCTAGAAAGAATCCATGTTATTACAAACATTTCAGAGACCACAAAAGCTTGAGTTGGATGCTTGCCTGGGATCAATTTGGCGTTGGGGTCCAAAACTGCTCAGTGGATGGATTTTGTAAGAAGCCGCTCCATAACTGCAGCCTTTGGCTTCCATCTCTGCTGTGGCTTCTGAATTAACAGGGAACATAGTCTAGAATAGCAAGTGAGAGTTCAAAATGAAAATCCCCCCCTTGTTTATGCTGGGCTTAATCACATAATTGAAGCATTAGAAAAAAACTGCAGCCTGAGACAAGCCTAGTTGCTCAATTAGTCACGCAGTTCTAAATATTACTTCACTTAGTTCAGTCGTGTGTGCCTTCATGTTTCCAAGGAGACAGCTCAAAAACGTTTGAGTAACCCTCATATGTTTGTGCAGAATCTTGGTCCACACATAAAAATGTAGGCTGCAACATTCATCAGTTCAACTGGTAGATCAAGCAATGAAAGCTTTAGTTGATACATTTGCAGAGGGAAATTTTTTACCAGTGAGAACAAATTTTGCACCAGACAACAAAACTCTTGCATTAAGCCAGGCATAAGAGGCAAGTTACGACCATTTTTTCAATACAGGATCTCTCTCCCTCTCTCCCTCTCTCTCCCTCTCTCTCCCTCCCCAGTACCTGTAGTTATTTTATTATTAATGTATTATTATCAGAAAATTTAGAAAGGGTCCAGCAGAGGGCAACAGAAATGATCCAGGGTTTGGAAACACTGCCCTATGAGGAGAGACTGAGAGAACTGGACTTGTTCAGCCTTGAGAAGAGACGACTGGGGCAGGGGGGACATGATATCCCTCTATAATTACCTCAAAGGCTGTCACAAAGAGGAAGGTCAAGATCTCTCTCTTCTTGCTGATGCCAGAGTGTAGGACACGGAATAATCAGTTCAAATGGCAGCAACCCAGATACAGGCTGGATATCAGGAAAAACTTCCTCACAGTCAGAGTAATACAACAGTGGAACCAGCTGCCTAGAGAGGTGGTGGGCTCTCCCACAATGGAGACATTCAAAAAGAAACTGGACAGCCATCTGAGTAGGAGGGTGTAAATTGTGTCCTGCAATAGCAGGGGGTTGGACTTGATGGCCTTCATGGCCCCTTCCAACTCTACTGTTCTGTAATTCTATGATCATGATTACAATGCTGTATTGTGCTTAAGATGTTTTAGTGAATATGGAAGCATTTCTTAGGTATAATGCATGCATAGAAAGGTAAACTATATACATAAGCTGAGACAAACATTTGGCTTACTTATGTGAATCGACTTACATGCAAATTCGACTTAAGGATGTTCACAACAATGGAACTTGTCTTTAACCCAGGGACTACCTGTATTCACTACAGTCAGTGGAATAGTGGTGTCGGGGCTTATAAGGATGCAGCACCTGCTCTTTTTTGTTATAGTGATGTTGATTTTGGAACTTCTTGTTCCTTCTGAGCTTAGCTGCAATCCACTCAATAGGCTGCCTGTTGTAAGTTAAAGTATTTTGCAATGGCTTGGTACAGAATGGGCAATTAATGCCCACCATCATAAGAAAAGACCTGCTCCTTGCAGGTGGAACCTCCTCCAACTGTCCCATCGATACGGTTCAAGAGAGTTGCCTGAATTTTTGGATTCTGCCTTGCTGGGCCAGTTTGGCCACGGGGAAGATCCTGATGAGCACCTTTGACTACACAGTGCAGGTTTCGCCTGGAAGCACCCAGGGAGCCAGTCATGAGTATGAATGTTCATAGAAACTCTCTTCAGGTCTTCCTGCTCAACTCAGGTTGGAATGGACAACACTGTTGAGGAATGGGGATCATATATCCTCCCAAGTACCCAACATTTTAAACTTTTTGCATACCTAAATAAGGCTGTGTTCCCCCAGCTCCCTCCTCATCAAGCAAACACATTTGTGATATGAGAATATATACATTCAAGGTCAAGAGGGATTGTAGCACAGCAGTAGAACACGTGCTTTGTGTGCACAACATTCTCAGGTCCATCCCTGACTTCTCTAGTGAAAGATTTAACCAGCATGGTTTCAGAGAAGAGTAGGGGCCGTTGGACCCAACCCATTATTCTGTATCCTGCACTGTGGGATGGTCAAGAAGAGATCCTGGTCTTTCTCTTTGTGACAGCGTTTCAAGTGCTAGTGTGCATTACGTGTTACAGGAAATCCTGATTCCTCCGACTGAGCTACGAGCCCACCATTTACATCTCCTGGTAAAGTAAGAGCATTTGGCTCCATCCTCATGTTCTCGGTGTCCCCTCGTTGTCCTCCCACCACCTCAACCACAATGATAAGCAGATCACCCCATGTGCCACAGGGCAAATTTTGAAGTCTGGATTCCAGGTTCACTGGTACTACTTCCCAAATATGATGGATAACAGTCTGGGATAGATTGGAGAACTGCTGCCAATAAGTGTGGACAATCCTCCACCAGTGATTTGACTTGATGTAAAGCAGCTTTGTCTTGTTCTGGCTTTATATGTTGGCTGGGTTGCATGGCGGGTCTTAAATCACATATAGTATTTTTCTAACAGGTTCCATACAGTTCACACCCTAACCGGGATGAATAAAAGCCCATCACTATTAGACATAAGAGGTCAGGCAAGAGCCAGTTTTTAATACATGGTTTTGAGGTAGCAAAACAGACATGTATTTTCATAGTCCAGTGCAGGGGTAAAGAACCTTCAGCCTGGAGAACAAATCTAGCCCTTCTGGTAACCCAGCCCAGCTGACGGGTTTCACCACATTGCTGCGCTTCTTTTCCCACCCATTAATCTTTCCTTTTCTCCTCTGCTTGTGTGTGTGTGTGTGTGTGTGTGTGTGTGTGTGTGTGTTTTAATTTGCCTTATACCATTAAATATTTAGAAAAATCTCCAAGTGGTTTCCATATCAATATTGAAATCAAATGTAAACTACCATTTTAAAAACCATGCAGTGAATATTACAAAATAATATAGGGCAGTACAAGAACAGTGAAATGGAACAGCTTGGTTGATTTAATTATGGGCCAAGAAAAAGCAAGGATAACAAGTGCATTTTCAGGAGGTGTTGGAAAGATGTCATTTTTTTACTGAGCGAACTGCCCAATGGAGTTTTTTCCCTAAAGTGGGTGCTTCAACTTAGAAGGTTCACCTGGTGACATTTTGAGAATTCCAATTCTAAAAAGCTGGAATATGTCTCCTGAGATGTAAGTATTGTCAGTAAGAGCTTTAAACAGAGATACGTGGATATTTTTGGTCCAAACCACCAAAGGAATGTGGCACTTGAAAGCATCTCCAAAATGAAATTAGGTGGTCAGTCCTGGGTCTAATAAATGTAGTCCTGGTCTAATAAATGTCTTCTCTCTTAGCCTCTGGAACCCTCTAGAGGAGTTGCAATATGGTGAAAGGTTACACATTTTTCTTTCCGCTCGCTTTGCAGACATCCCCTACGTCCAGATTAAAACCTGGAGCCCACTTGACTAATGTGCAGGCATATCCATACTTTTCTTCCAGACTGAGCCAGACCTTGGTGAAGGACGTAGCAATCCTTGCCCGGGAGATCCATGATGTTGCTGGAGATGGAGATTCCCAGAGCTCGTCGGGAACAGGACCAAGCACCTCCCATAGTTCTGTGCCAAACACCCCTGCTTCAACTATATCAGCAAGGGAAGAGGTAAGATGGCTCTTTATGATTTGTCTGTTTCTGAGCACAAGTAAAACAAGGGGCAAAATTAAGTTTGGTTAGGCTGGACACTCCCAAACTGTGCTGCAGTGGAGCAAGGGACTTCTGCTGCCGCTTTTCTGTTAGGAGGCAGCAATGTTGCCTGCCACCCTCTGTGTTGCTGTAGCTTAGCTTCTATCCTCACAATAGGGAATTGATTTTTTCCAAAAAAAAGTGTTTTCTTTGGTAATGCAAAGTATTTGGAGGTGGCTTCCTCTTGAATGGGCAATTAAGACCCCTTAGCTTTACCAAAGACCTGCTTGCGGTGGAGATAAAATGAACGGAACTGCTTTGTTGATCACTGTCAGGGCAATCGCCTGGTTTTTTCCGCTCTTATTGGGGTGTGCGCCTGTGTGGACTGTGATGGGGAGCCCTTGCATGCTGCAACCTGGCCTCCCAGCCTCCCACCACCATCTGATTTTTGGAAATTCTACACCTGTAAGGTCCAGGTACCTTCCTCTTGATTAATTCTTCTGCTTGGGAGGGAAAAACCTGGACTCTACTGTCAGGTCCTCCTTAATAAAATTAAAGTTGGTTCATGCTTCTTGGTTAATAAGGCCAGAATTTTTAGTATTAGTGTTATCAGCAGCAGCAGCAACAAAAACAATGGCTTTGTACAAAACATGGTAACACAAAAACGCCACTGAAATCCGAAAACACATGCAAGCACAACTAAAAGGGGCATCAGATATAAAAGATAAAACTATTTTGCAGGTACTAAAAACAAAAAACACTGCAATTCTGTATATGCCTAGTCAGATGTAAGTCCTGTTGATTTAGTTTGAGCTAAGTGCATATAGGTTGCCACCTTGAATACTAAAATACAGAAGCTTCATTCTGTGACAGAAATACAGCAATGTGGGAAGAAGGCAAGCTTCCCCTGGGAAAGCACGCCAGAGCTTTTCGGGGCGGGGCGGTGGGGCGGGGGACACCACTCTTGCTTCACGCCAAGCTTGAGCATGAGGGGGAGTTTGGGAAACACTTCCCTGCATGACCACAGAAGAAGATGGGATGCCAAAATCTGTTCTGTCTCATTTGTTTCCCCCCATGATATTCAGTTTCTAAAGCTCATAGCATCACACCATGCATTTCTGCTGCCTTCAATCAGCCAGTGAAAATGTGAAGCAGGTGCAGAGAATGTGATGAATGAGAAGAGGGGTACCAAAAGTAGTTTTGCTGCTGATAATAGCAACACCATTGCTCAGTTATCCCTTTTCTGCTTGTTACATGCAGGGGCAGAACACAGGAACAAGGTCCCCCAGTTTGCCCTCCTGGGATCCCAGTCCAGCTCTCCTGGGTTCTGGAGATGCCATGCCCCATTGCCCTCACCCCGTTGTTTTTCTCCAGGCACCAGTCTTGTTGGGTGGCTTCCCCTCCACCATTCCAAAAGATTGAAACTCCTCTTTTAAGGCTGGCAAATTTTTTTTCCTGCCCACTTTGCCTTTGAACCAAGTACCACTGGAATGCAGGCCCTGAGAACTTCTCTACAAGAGAATTTACTACTCTGCCTGAAAGAACCCTAGCTCCTGAAACACATGACTTTTCATGTCTTTCAAAGTATTTTGAAGTTAGAGGTCGGAAATTTTGCTGTATTCCAAGTTTAGCTCTCCCCCTGCTAAAATTAGAGACGTAGTTTTGGGATTGTTGTTGTTATGTTTATCTACTGAGGGCTTATTCGACATGGTGCACCCCTGCCCCCTCTCCACCCACCCATATTCAATAACTGAAGAGCCATCTCCACATTTGCTCATTTTGCATGTACATTCACCCTAGCTCAGTCTTAGAGTTGCAATTATCATCCCTTCCATAAGGTGGCAGTAAGAGCCAATTGTTGCCAGTTGGACAATTGCTTTTCTATCACATCATCTTCATTGCACTACCAGAGTGCATGGTTCTTTACAGAATGCAAGAGGACAGGTATGGGAGGCTGGGGTGCACAAGGAAGCAATATGCTTACCTCTCTCAAACCACATTCCTTTGTCACTGAAATCTCTCTCCCTTGCCTGGCCTTACAAGCAGAAGCATAATCTGTCACTTCAGTGGGGAGATGAATAATTTTTGCTTCCTATGGAGTGAAAAGGACTAGCTAAGGATTACCCAAGTGCATGAAGCCAACTCCAGGCCTTCAAATTTGCAAGAACATGACAAGTTTAGAGCAAAAGCCTGTGCAAACTTAGGCAGCTGGTGGCACATGCTGGGAATTATAGGCCTTCTTTACTGCCTAAATTTGCACACTTAGTTTAGTTTTACTCAGCCTTATGGTTTTAAATTGCCAGGTGTCCACTCACCCCTCTCCCTTTAGTTCTGGTTTTAAATTGTGCCAGCTATTCATAGTGGCTTACCAAACTTCTACGGCTTGATGCAGTCAGCCAGGAGGGTAATAGCTCGACTGCAGAGATTGAATAACACTGGGGTTAAATCACGTACTCTTACGTCTTACATGGAACAGCCAAATAACCATTGCCCTGCTTTATCTCTCAGTTTCACATGGACTTTTCATTGCCTGTAAGTAAAGCATTAATAGACGTGCGTACTTCCAGAGAAATAGATTAGTTTAGAGATAGATGCCTTTGTGCATGTTTTGCTTTGTAGACACGCAAGAGAACTCCTGCCCTGACATCTGGACAAAATTGATGTGTGGGTAAAACTGAAATCTTTTAGCACCCACTGTCATTAGGCTGTGGGATTTGATCATGTTTATGTAAATACAAGGATCCCTACTTTTCTGGAAATGCTAATGGAAACATGTTTCCATTGTTGGTTGTGGAACAGTTGGTCAGGGAACCAGCCAGGAGGTAATCCTTCATTTAATCTGAGGTGGAGCTACGAAGAACATGGCACGGGATGTAAATGTTACCAAATGGAAGCAAGGACCACAGTGCCATCAGATTAAATATGGTGGAAGGTGGAAGTTAGGTTAGGTTAGCAGTTAGCAGTTAGGTGGAAGACTGCTAAAGTTCCAGTGCAGTCCTTTGACTTCAAAAGAGGAAAATTCTCCAAAATGAGGGAACTGGGGAAAAAAGAAGTTGTGGGGGAGGGGGTCAGGAGGGTTAAATTGGCCATATACGAGGTATGGTCAAAACTATGGCGAATGTTTAAATAATATTACAGTAAAAGACACATTGCCATCAACCCCCCTCAAAATACTCCCCCTCTCATTGAATACTCTCATTCCATTGTTCTTGCCACTTTCTGAAGCAGTTATGGAAGTCTCCTTTCATGAGGGTTTTTAGTTGCGCTGCTGTGGCTGCCTCAACGTCCTGAAGGGGAGAGTGTGCCAGCGTGGGGTCTCGGATGGGTTGCAGCAGCTGCTATAGGCAGCTCCTCCTCCCACCGCACATGAGGGACCACCATTTCTCCCTCGGAGTGGGGGGGAGAGGAGGAGCCGCTCCTCGGTGGGCCTTTCCTTTGCGCAGTGGGTCGCCAGAGTGTCATGGAGGCGGCAGCAGTCGGTGGCTACCAGCCTTGTGGCTATGCGCTGCCTCCTTTGCCAGAGGTGGCATGCCCGTGTACACTGGTTGCTGTGCAGCTCAGGCAGGTTTACTTCGTGTACCCATCCTGCTTGAGGGATCCTGTGGGCAGCTGGCTTGCCCGCATGTAAATGGTGCGCTAGACCATTGGTCTCATCCAGCATGGCTTTTCTTACGTTCTTCTATAACCAGATTAACCAATTATAAATGCCACAGATACTAAAGCCCTCTGTTCTTACGATCTGGAACTGGAGAGCCCAGGCCCAGGTAGGCCCAGAGTTAATCCAGAGGCAAGAGAGAGGTACAGAGGTAGGCTTGCCAAAGAATTTAATGAAAATATCGAAAGCTTATTATGAGCAATAAAATTAATATTCAGGAAAACAGAAATTGTAAAAATATCATTAGAGCCGTGTATTTCATGGGAAAGTTATGTCATGATTTACAACTGTTTTGATATATTAGATTAATCTGTTGTTGGATCTTGAGAATTGATTGATTTTGACTATGGCCAGAGGAGATAGAAATTTTGGCTTTCTCATGAAGTGGTTAGATGTTGAAATTATATGCTATATTTCCGTAATATCCCTAGGTATCCTTTTTCTTTCCTATATATTTTTTCTTTTCTTATTTGTATCTTATTTCTTTTTTCCTGAAAATAAAGAGATAGCGGTACAGAGGGAATGGGAGCTTATGGCTGTCTTCAGTGAAGGTTGCGGGGCTTTGGACCTTCCTTGATAATACTTAGTGGCCATACTGGCTGGGGATGAAGGAAGGAAAGTGCCAATTTGGGGGCTCTAGAGGCCCCACCCCAACATCTAGATAACATCCTGCAGGATTTTCAAAAGACTCTTAGATGTTAGCAGCTCTTCAAAGGCAGATATTTTTGGTATCTTCCAGGTAACCACATAGAGAGAGAACCACTGTTTGCACAGCCGTGCTCCCCAGTTGTGCTGCGCTCAAAGGGTTAAAGGGCTGGATATATATTCTGCCCTTACAAATAATCAACATTCTGCATCAGTTTAATATTTATTTTTTCCCACTGAGAGCAGCCAACTTATTTTGCATCGTTCTATTTCTGTTTTATGTGCCTTCACAAATATTTTTTCTTGGTGAGCAACAGGGATTTTTTGTTGACTCAACACCATGCATGGCATGAAGGGGGGGCTGTCAGTCACTCGGGGAGCATCTGCTTTGCATGCTGGTTCAGTCCCCAACGATTCCGCTCAAAAGGGTATCAGCTGCTAGGGCACACCTGGGAACTGCTGCCAGTCAGAGTGTGCAGTCGTGGGCAAGAGGGACCCCTGTCAGTATAGGAAATCTCTGCGTGTTTGTGTGCTGTTTGAACTTGGGGCTTCTTTGCTTTGCCTTTTGCCTTCTTGAGTACACTGCCTTGTCCTTTGCATTTTGCCTTGTCCTCTCTACATGTGCGTGAAGGTTCATGTAATCTTATGGTTAGTGCTGATTACTTTCTCTCTTTCTTCTCCTTCCTATTTTCCATACAGATTGCTCATTCATCTTCGCGGGCAGCAATTCCATCGCAGGTGCATATTTCATCCCGCCATACTTTTAAGCATTTCAGTGTTCCCTTAAAAGTTATTTTTCCTCTTTATGTTAAGTGCTTTTAAAGCTAGGAATGTATTTCCCTTTTTAAAATCCTGCTGGTCTCCAGAAAATCACTATTTGTTACTTTATCACCTTTCTTTTCCATTCTCTGGATTTTTTTTTATTTTGCCAAGTATTAGAATTAAATGCATACATTTTTCTGACTTTGCCACATGGTACAGTCATTAAAATTTCCCTTCAAATGGCAGATCTGTAGGAAAGGATTCAACTGGAAAATGAAAATTTCTCACTTCTCCAGCACCCTCATCTCCAAATACTTCAGTACTTCCTGACATAACATACAGCATGTATGCATTTAAAGCTTGGCTTTCATATGTTAAATATGTGGAGTCCTTATCTGCTGGCTTTTCAGAATGTGTGGAAGGGAATTTTACTGGGCAGGGGGGGGGGCTCCCTCCATTTCCACACTTTAGGAGGCATTCTCAAGTTCTCCTGAGTAGTTCTGAGGCAGGATTTCCCTTGAGGAGCCGTTATGGATTGTGTCCAGTCTTTGTTTAATTTGCCCATTCATTTCCATGGGTCCACTCTCTATAGGACTAATTGGCTACAATCCTATGTATGTAGGCCACATCCAGACGCTTCACTAAATATGACTGGGTTCAGGCAATGCAATAATCCATACTCAAAGGCTGAGTATAGGTTTGAACTGTGGATTGTTGAAATGTGGGTTATCATTAACCTAGCTGAGATAACAAACCATAGTTAACCATGAACAACTCACTGTTTACAACCCAACAACAAACCATGGGTTCTTTTCATGGGTTCTTTGTAGCTAAGAAGTCGTGGCCTGACCTTTCAGCTGGGTTCAAATAACATGATGCCACATTTCTTCAACAATGCTTGGTTCAATAGCCACCCACATTCCGCCCTTAGGTATGGATCGTCCAGTTGCCTGAACGCAAGGGCTGAAATTTGTGGGGGATGGAGCCCATGTATGTGCCGAAGTCTGGAGCGAGGCTGCTGGGTGCATCACTGAACAATCAGTGAATATGAGGAGGGTGTTTCTGAGATGCTCCATAAAAAGGGTGCATTATTTGGTTTCTAGGCATGTACATCTGAGTGTGTGTGTACAGTTTATTTATTTAAAACATTTGTATAGAGCCTATTGTACCATAGCATGTCTAGGCATTTAGGCATTAACGTCAAGCATGAAATAAAAGAGAATGGGGTGAGCACATTCCTGCCGGCCCACCACGTGCTGGCTGGACCCAGTTCACTGAATGTGTGCTTAGGACTAATGTAAGCAACTTAAAAAGGGAAGTATGAATTCAGTGAGAAGTCAGTTAAATGGAAAAGGGCATCTGCAATGTCTGGAACGGTTAGGTAGTTTCTGACGTCATATTTTAATCAGAGTGAATGAGAGTGCCAGAATGATTTTGTCTCTGACTCTGGCTGGAAATGCAATGATAGGCGCTATTGCCAAAATTGGCACCCCCATATTGGGTTCTCCTTCGCTTGCTCTGATTGGATGATGACAGTGATCATGATGATCCATTTTATTTCTCTTCCAGCCAATAGCTAATGCTCTCTCGATGGCTACAACAATTCATAAAATACAAATTCTGTACAAACCATAGAATTTCAATATAGAAATTTTAAAAACAAATTTAAAGATGGATTTAAACAACTTAAATAGCTATTGTGTATCGTGTTGTTTTGGCTATTTTAAAATGACTTTAAAAAGTTTATATTTTGGAAATTTTATGTTGCTTTATTGTGTTGTCTGTTTTACAAACTGTTGTAAACTGACCAGAGAGCTGTGTCTATTGGGTGGTATAGAAATGAAAAAAGATGACGATGATGACAAAGAAGGCAGGTTAATACAACTGAACCTATTAAAATGCCCAACATAAGCACCTCGATCCGCCATTCAGAACTGAGAGCCAGTGTTGGCGTAGTGGTTACGGACACAGGACTGGGACTCAGGCAACCTCGGATCTAGGCCCTGCTTGGCCATGGGGCCAGCTAGATGACTTTTGGGCCAGTCACAGACTCTCAGCCCAACCTACCTCACAGGGCTGTTGTTGTGGAGATAAGGTTGAGAACAGCAGGAGGAAAATGCTGTAACCCACTTTGAGTGTGTTACAAGAAAAAAGCAGGATAAAAATCTAAATAAATGTCTTGCCGTAGAGCACCAACTCTACTATGGTACTAAAAGCGTAATCGAGTTGGTGCCAGGGGGCCTTCAGCAGAAAGCATGTTCCTGTGACTGGGGAGCTGCCCCTGAGGAAGCCCCCTTCCTTGCTGGCACTGACCGCAGCTCCCGCAGAGGTGGCTGTTGGGCGCAGTATCTTGGCACTCCAAGCCTGGTACCAGCTCTGCCAGTTTTCTTGCCAGGTGCAGTCAAGGATGTTGAGCTGGGGCAGGAGCATGCGCAGGGGGATACCCTTGCATGGCTTGGTGAGTGTCCTGATGCATTCAGAAGAGGAGAGAAGGGCTTGGTATGGGGCTCTCCTTTTCATCCCCGTTCTCTGCTATGCATAATTGCAATCCCCACTTAGCTGAAGCAGGGCAGGTCTTAAAGGTGCAACTTCCTATTTGCTTGTTTACTTCCCCTGTCATGTTCCCCTGTCCTGATCTGAATATATAAATTATGCCTTCCCTTTCACATGTATTTTTAAAGCTGGTGCAGCACATACCAGAAGCAAGTCTAAACTTCCAGAAGGTGCCTCCTGGTTCAATGGAATTCCATGATTTTGACCAAAATATGAATGACAGCAGAGAGGAGGATCAGACGAGAAAAACAAGGATAAGAAACAGGGAAGAGGTAGGTTGACGACAATACAATGAAATTCTGGGACATGGCTGTATGGCGCTGCCTTGTGCCGATCAAGAACGCTTTTAGGTCCTCTCTTTCTTACAGCCTTGGGAATATAAGGAGTTCTGACTGTTTTTCACTTCTTTGACAAGGAGCGTGCCAGGGATGTCCTGCGGTTAGCGTTAGCAGCTGATTAAGGAACGTCTGGAGCGCAGCCCAGTGGGGAAGCCAATGAGCTCCCAGACTCTGGATTGCAGGCATCCTGTGCAGGATGCATGGAGCATGAAATAAATTTTTGCTTCCCTGCTCCTTTCATCCTGCAAGTTGGCTAGACTGCTGATTTTGGCCATCCAGCTTAACAACACACTTCCTTGGCTTTTAAATGAGTTTTGCCTAGGTCGTAGCATGCATGCCCTTAGAACAGCCATTCCAAAATGGTGTTTGCCATCTGCAGTGTTTGTAAGTACTTCTTTTAACGAATAATGCATGAAAAAATAATCTGTCTGATCATTCCAGGGCCCCTTCCTAGTTAATCACAATGCATTGCTATTTTTACTACTATTACTACTTTCATTTATATCTCACCTTTTTCCTTTTGTGAAGAACCCAAGGCAGCTTACATATCTCAGTTTTTTCCTCACAACAGCAACCCTATGTGGTAGGTTGGGGCCGAAGTTCTGTGACTGGCCTAAAGTCACCCAGTGAACTCGAGGAGCTGTGTTTTAGTAGAAAGCCATGAAGAATCCTCCAGATGCAGGAATGTAATTCTGTTGTAGCAGTACTTCTGAAAAAACCCAATTTCCATTGAAAGAAATGGTGCCATTCCGTCTTGTGTTTCAGGTCATCTTTGACAACTTGATGCTCAACCCCGTGTCCCAGTTATCCCACACCATCCGGGAAAACACCGAGAACCTGGCAGAGAAAATGAAGTGAGTGGACTGCACCAGTATTGCTAGGGATGTAGAAGAACCCCCTTGCAGTTCGCAAATTAACCAAGCATGTCCCGTTCACAACTCCAAATGGAAATGGCAGCAGGTTTCCTTAAAATACTAACACTCAAAGGTTTCTGAATTCTCTTCCATGTTCATAAAATACATATTCTTATGACCTGGTGACATCCAGAAAGCCTAACATTTAATGTAGAGGTGGACAGCTTCGGCAGCTCTGGGGCCATTTCCTTTCCATGTGCCATTTTTATAACAACAAGAAGACTTAGGTAGCACTTACTTAGACTTGCAAAGTAAAGTTGACGGCTTTGATGGTCTGTAGTTGCTGTGTGCTAAAAGCGCCAAAATTAGCTTGCATACTAGGATAGCTGACAGTAAAAATAAATCAAGTAATCAAAATAAAATTAAAACATTAATAAAATAAGCCAGATTAAAGTCCCAGCAGCAAGTTAAACTGAGCCTCAGCCAAAGTTTAAAAATGTTTTGGGAAAAAAATCTTACAAAGGGCTTTACCAGATCCCAGAAGGGCATCTGATCCTAGGCAGTCTTTCTTCAGAAACTGGAGCTGCAGCCACAGATGTTTTTCCACTGGTTGCCACCTGGCTAACTTCAGAAGACAGGAGTGCCTGGACAGATGCTTCTAGCAGTGATCTTAATTGATGGGTAGGCAAAGTTAGAGCTGAACTAGATGTTATCTGAACAAACATGTGCCCCAAAATCCACTTCTGCTGAGTAACATGAATTTGGGGTAGTATATCTCAGGGATAAGTAAAGTGCAGAAAAGAGAGGTGCTTAATCCTATTGATTCGTCCTCATAAATGCTGCTTTGCTCACAAGATTTTTTCTCAGCTGGGCTTACTTCCATTTTTAGAGCCAGGCTGGTGTAAACCACACTTAACCATGGTGTGGCAGTCTCATTTGTGCGTGGGAATTCACGGGCAGGGAAACATTAAGTGCTCCCTCCTTACCCATCAGTTTTCCTCTGTCCTTCGTTTGCCCTTGCAATGGTATTATGGAAGGAAAGAGGAAGTTAGGTAAATTGGTATAGACTTTCAGCATGCAGCCCACCCTAATGGTTTTTACTTTGCTTTGTTTTATTTCAATATATGCTTTCTACACCAAATGATTCTAGCTTTCTTTGTTTGGTGCCACACATAGAGCAAACATGGAAAAAGGGAGTATGGTCATTGTGGCTGGCCCGGCCCATGACCTCCACCCTCTGAGCCAAAAGTATGAATGTGGCAGTTCCACAGAGTCCCTCCTCTGTGACTGAGAGCCCTGCAGGGATTCTGCTCAAAAGCACCAGGTCAGCCAGAGAACTGCTGCTCCCCCAACCTGCTTGTTTGTGGAGCCAAACATAAGAATATAACATTTGCTATCCTTCAGAGTCAAGAAAAAGAATCATAAGGTTTGAGACAGCTTCTTGGCATATGGAGGGAATCTTAAGTCTCATTCCTTAGAGGTTCCCAGTGCCTGACGGACTTGTTCATGAACAGCTGACGTTGCTGTGATGTGCCGTCAAGTCGTCTCATTGCGATCCTATGAATGACTCACCTGAAGAGGGCCCTGTTCTTGACAGCCCAAGCCTGTGACTTCCTTTATGCAGTTGATCCATCTCATCGTTGGTCTTCCTTTTCTTCCTCTCCTTTTGACTTTTCCTAGCACGATTGTCTTCTCCAGAGGGTTGTGTCTTCTCATGATGTGCCTGATGTTGTTGTTGTTCGTCGTGAAGTCGTGTCCGACCCATTGCGACCCCATGGACAACACTCCTCCAGGCTTAGAACTCTCAGAGCATGGCAGACTCATATTTTGATGGGCTTGCATGGTTCTGCACACCATGGCTGTGAACTCGCCTGTGTGCTACTTCAAGATGCCAAACATAATACCATGTGCAAGGGAAATCAACCTTCCCACCCTAAGATGCTTCACAGCTTTGTAGGAGACATTTGATTTATTTATTATGTTTTTGACACTTTGACAAAATAACAGCATTTATGTGTTTGTATCAGAATTCTGTTCCAGAATACTGAGCGGACATGGGAGGAGATGGAGGCCAAAATTAATTCCGAGAATGAAGTGCCAATTCTAAAGACCTCAAACAAGGTGGGAATTGTTTTCAACATGGGCTCGGAGGGTTGTTTTTAGAAGGCTTGAACCATGTAAAATATGTGTCAGGGGCGCAAAAGATGTTAGTCTGTGGGCTGCAGGTGGCCCTCCAAGTCATTTTTGGCAGCGTACTAGAACCCCCTGCATCTGCCACCAAAGAATCTCCTTGGCATTTCCTTTGCAGGAAATTCCCTGGCAGGGGAACCCCTTTCTTATCCCCACTCTTTGCTGGGATATCACTTTTGGCACTAGCAAGAGAAACTGCGAGCATTCTATAGTGGAAGGTCTAGTAAGGGATGCCATTCCTTATCATTCATCTCTTATCTTCCATATCGGAGAAAAGAGAAGGGATTCTGTTTGCAGAAGCAGGAGAAATGCTAACACTAGCAAGAGAATCCTTTCCCTCTCCTCTAGTTATGAAAATAAAAGACTGGAGATAAGAGAAGAGTTCCTTTTATGGGCACTGGCTAGGCTAGTGTGTGCACAAACGCATGCGCTTGCACGCATGTGTTTCCACATGTATGTTTTGCATGCATGTCTACATTTGGTGGCGCAGTGGTTTAAACCGCTGTGCTGCTGGGCTGGTTGATTGAAAGGGTGCCGATTCGAATATGCACAACGGAGTGAGTTCCCGTTGCTCCGTCCCAGCTCCTGCCAACCTTGCAGTTTGAAAGCATGCAAATGCAAGTGGATAAAAAGGTACCACTTAGGTGGGCAGGTAACAGCGTTCTGTGCACTTCGGTGTTTAGTCATGCCGGCCACATGACCACGGAGACTGTCTGGACAAACGCTGGCTCCCTCGGCCAGGAAACGGAGATGAACACCGCCCCCGAGAGTCAGGCATGACTGGACTTAATGTCAAGGGGAAACCTTTACCTTTACCTTTACCTTTACCTACATTTGCAGCCTTCAGGCAACATGCAGTGCAGCTCTCAAACATGTATGAATGTTTGTGGCAGAGCGACAGTAAATTTAGAGCATTATAATGTGGATGTGAAGCTGCCTTTATACTTGTCTTGCCTTTACGGGTTTGAATCTGAGTTCTGTTTCCTCTTTCACATTTCTATTTTTGAAGGAGTAGCGTTGCATGGCTACTCTTACATTTCAGTGGCAATGTCCAGATGTTTGTGGGGAAGAAATATGAATTTTCCTAGTACCAAAAAGAAAAAATAAAGCTAACCCCAAAGCAAAAAAAACAAAAAACAAAAATCTTTTTGAATAATCCAAATTTTAATATTTAACTCCTTTAGTGGATCATGAAAATTCAGATTTGGAGACCATGTGGTAGTTTAAACAAAAGGTTGGGCGAACGTGGAATGTAACATGCATTGTTTTTATCAGAGACAATACAATATACAAAATAGTCTTCATTTTCAGAATGTCTTGAGTGTTTGAAGCACTGTTTTTTTTTTGCTGTTCATTGCCAGGAAATCAGTTCTATTCTGAAGGAGCTACGCAGAGTCCAGAAACAACTTGAAGGTTTGTTTTGGTTTCCTGCTTTCTCTGTGGCATTAACTGATTTTTGCCCCACCCAGACATCCTCCAAATGCACTGCATTGTGATAGCCAGCATCTCCCACTGTTTCCTGTCCCATTGTGGGGTAGTGAAATCTAACTGAATCCAGTTTCTGTGTGTTAGCGTAGGGTATGCATAGAACCATAGTAAGCTTATTCCACAGTGCTTACTAAGAATGGCACAGAGGGGTTTTCCCAAGTGCATCACACTCTGATTCTCCCCTAGTGTGAACAGTGCAATGAATACAAGCTTCTCTGTAGATTGGATTGCAACTCCCAGCGTTCTCAGCCAGGCTGGGAGTTGCAGTCCTGCACATCTTCAGGGCATCAGGCTGGGAAGGCTGGCTTACACCATATGCCAGCTAGCATACAAAGAGCCAGAAAGAAGCACACAGTACCAGCTCGTGAGACTGTGCAAAGCAGCGGCTCCTGAGGAGGATGGCTCCAATGAACCTGATGTGTAGTTCGAACTACTGAAAGACAGTGAGAGGCTGGGTGAGTGCCTTTCTCCTCGCTGACACCCTTTACTTACTGATTTATGTGCAAATTTCTGCACCACTGCACCGTCCAGCAAAGCACGTTAAAAAGAGGAGGTGGGCACTCATTTATTTTATTTATTTATTTTTTGATTTATATCCTGCCTTTTCCTACAGAGGGCTCAAGGCAGCTTACATCATTCTCCTCCTCCATTTTAGGAATCGAAACAACATCATTTGAAACAATGAGTGCAGTGTTGGCACCTGCCTGACCTCCAGAGGCAGGGAGTTGCGGAGAGGCCAAGCGGCTGCACTGCGGGAGTGCCCTCAGCAATCGGGTTGTCCCTGGTCCACTGTCCCGACAGCGCCCGAGACTGTCCGTTGGGGCCCCAGTCCTACTGCCACACATTCCTGCACCGTTGACACACGAGGCTCTAAATCAGAGAGATTCCATTTTTAGGGCAGATCCCATGGCATAAGTGTAAGATGTGCCATCACCAGAAATCAGACAGCTGATGGCATTGGGCTGTAGTCTCTTGATGTAGCTGCACATCTAGGTAAGGGACTCAGCTGTCTTTTAGGGACCAGCTTCCCAGGCATTCCTCCCTCACCAAGGGAGGGATCCCTGCTCTTCCTGGGGAAGAGCCTTCCCCAGCATTCACAGGCAAAGGTTCAAGGAAGGGGTGTGAGCAACTCGGAGCCGCTGCTGTGCCCAGGGGAGGAGTCCTAGTCGCAAGCTGGACCTGCCCACATACTCCCACAGAGATCAGAGCAAATGTTGATCCGTGTGCTGTGAGTCCTCCTCCCCGGATCTGAGCAATTCCAGACAGGAGAAGGCTCTGAGCCCTGTTGCTCTGGAGGCAAGGAAAGGGATCCTTGAAGAGGACCTGAGCCACCACTCACCCCTCCACAGAGAGCTTAGAGACACAGAAACAGGGCGAGTCAGAAGGGACCTCCTGGGCCATCTAGTCTGACCTCCGGTCCAGCTGACTCCTGCTCATGACACGCCTACCACATGCATGTCCAGCCTATCCTTGAACACTCTCATCCATGGGTCTTCAGCCACCTCCTGTGGAAACCCACTCCATGCACTAGGGGTCCTAACTGTCAGGAAGTACTTCCTGGCATCCAAATTGATCTAAACCAGCCTTGCCATTTGTGCTTGAATCTCCATGTGGTGTGAGTTCAAGTGTTCACTTAGGGGCAGTTCACAGACATAGGTTCATTATTTAATGGCTGTAAACTTGAAGGAAGAATTATCTGTATGAGGCCATCAACTCAGATCAGTTGTTACAGACAAAGCATTCATATCAGTTTGCACTGTTTCAGAGAGAAGGCTTGAACCAGGTAGATGAATATGTGAACCTTCACGGCTCCTTCCAGTCCTGTCATTCAGGTCCATGCTGACCATGCTTGCTTCCTCTTTCTTCTGCAGTTATAAATGCCATCATTGACCCAAGTGGGAACTTGGATGCGCTTACCAATAACAAATCACCTTCTGCTATGCCACAGTCTGCAGCCACGAAAGTCAGGACTGCTAACAACATTTCTGGGTCCATGCTGGAGGCTTTGTCCCCTGTCAAGAAAAGGAATTACGCACAGAAATCGAACTTTGGTTCTACCAGCCTGCAGGATACTCCCTTTGTTCCAGACGGGGAGAAATACGTGATCTAGCAGCATATTTTCTATTGCTTATCCTCTTGTGTGTGACTTAATGTGGCGTTAGTATTGTGTATGAGTGGTTGTGGGCAAGTCCGCATGGAGGAGTTGTTTAGATTGCTAACATATTGCACAAAAGAAACACAAGATACAGTCTGTGCTGTGTGGGAGTGAGTGGCAGGGCAGGCCTCTGTGTGTGCCTTTGAGAAGAAAAAAACTAGCACTGTGGACTGGCACACTTTCAGCATAGAGGCAGATTTTTAACAGAAGGATAACCAATGCATATTCCTCCAATGTGCCATAGCAAAACGGGCTTTGCGTATTCTTCACTCCGTACTGCCGAAGCTCTACTATGTTCTTGTATTTAGCCTGTTCATAGCTATCTGTTTAGTTGTATAGAGGCGCTCTTTGAAAATGTACCTTTCAGGGGTGGTGGTGCTCTATATTTAATTGAAAACACAGAGCATTAAATCATTCTGCTGGAATGGACTTTTTCATACTTGCTGGGTTGAGCAATGCAGTGTGGACGGGTTCTTTCAGAAGTCCACAAGCAGTTCCTTGCAAACCCCTCTTCAAGGTGAGCAAAAAAAGATGACCGAGTGTCATTCTACCTGCAGCCATACAGCTTTTGCGATTTCACTGGGAAAGGGTAAGAGTGCAGGTGATGGAAAGCTAGTGTTCAAGTTGGCACCATTGTTTTTCTTGCTGTGATTCTGTCAAAAAAATTCCCTAGAGCAGGCAAACCAATGACTGGGTCAGGATCGCATGTAGCAGATTTGCCAAATTTGTACAATTTCATGATAGTTGCTGCATGGCAATGCTTTTATGTAGTCCTAATGTCTTTTAATACAATCTGCAAAGTCCTCTGTTTGCTGCATATAATTTTGGAGGGTCATTCTCATGTTTGGGCTACTATTAAGGGTGCAGTCATGGCCCCCTCCTTCCATGTCTCAACATTTTATATATCTCCATAGGCAACTTCTGAACACAAGAGTATAGGTCACCTTTGCACTCACGAAAATCCTGTATTGAGCGGTAGAAGTGGCACGGCTCCACATCCTGCCAAGCTCCAGGATATTTTTTGAAGTGGGAGAGGAATGGGGAGGGCACGTTCCGCATCCCCACCCCCACTTCAAGCTGCTACAGGTGAGGCGTGCAAACCAAGAATGCTCTCATGCTACCTCCAACTTTCTTGGGTGCCTGACACAAAATGGGAACACAACTCTTGTGGGATTCGGAACTTTGTGCTGCTTTTCGGGCTCGAGCAAATACAGTGAGCTGGCACTGAGCTGAGCATGTCTGAGAATTTGGAAAGGCGGGGGCCTTCAGCTGGGCGACCACATGTGGAAAGCAGAGCAGGGGGTTGGACTCAATGCCCTTATTGGCCCTTTCCGGCTCTACTGCCGTTCTCACCCTGAGCATAGTTGTGGCAACCTAAGCAATACCTCTGCTCTCCAAAACATAAGTTGAAGATCATAAAGATAAGTAATAAGCCTATAAAAAGTTGTCACAAATAATGGTGAGACGAGTCCAGCCATTGCTTTACACTGTGCAAATAGATGTGGATGCCCAGAGGGCATCTTGGAGGCACGACACCTGAATGTTTCCCAAGCTGGGTTCAGAGGCATGTATCCAACATGAGTTCTCCTTAGGGGAGACTCACTGAATGGAATGAAAGTTAAGTTAGTCATGACCAACTTACATGGATTTGCCCTTAAGTAGAACTAAGACTGGTTACAGCCCAGTGTTTCAGCCTCCTGTGGTCTGTATGCTGATGTAAATTAACTTTGATGCTCCATCTGCTGTGTTAATTCAGGCCTTCATGCCAAAATGAAAGGATGTTTGTTCTGGCAGATCAGGAAGCCCAAGCAAAGCATCAGTGATGAGTCTTCACTTGCATCCCCATTCCCAAAGCAACAGCTTCAGCCTCTGTTCACTCCCAATAGTGGTGCCATCTTGTGACTTGAATCAAGATATGTGAACCCTGCTTGACTTCTGAGAAACAAGTGGCTGGATTTTAAATACAGTGTTATTAGACTGTTGCAATCCTGGGTAACACTAAGGATAATTTCTGAACAGCACTGAAGTATATGCTATGAGAAAACACACAAGCTTTTTACCGTGAAAAGAAATGGTTTTGCACTTGCCAAAATTCATGCTGGTTGAAAAGGTCAGGGAGGGAATGACTTGCTTAGAGTTGGGAAAACTTGTGAATAATAATCAGCAAATTATAAAATTCCTTTTGTTCCTAAGTTGTTAGGGCAGGGGAAGACCTCATCGCTTGCCTTTATTGTTGCAGATGGGCAGGTGACATTGAACTGAGAAACAAATGCTTTACATAATTTTGTTGATTAATGCACCTCCTCGAGTTTGAGTTGTATCTGATTTCATGCTTTTAATTCATTAGCAAGGTTGCAGTGCAGTGTTAGATCATATGCATGGTGTGCAGAAGGCCCTACGTTCAATGTGCAGCTCCCCAATTAATTGGATCTCAATTTAGAAAGACCTCTCTGATGAGACCTATGACTGGCCAACAGAGATGGCATTGTTCTAGATGGACCAATAGCCCAAGGTAGCGCCACCTGTGTTTTCTGCTGGTAGGATTTAAGAACTAACATCTGGGCTTTTCCAAAGTGCATCTGCTGAAATCCCAGCTTTCTTTCAGATCTTGCATCCATGTGAAGTGGAAGCCGGTCAGGGCAGCCATTGAAGCAACTAGAATTAATGTCTAGGAACTTTTTGGGTGTATCGTTTATGTAAAGAGACGTTTGAATGCAGTGAATAAGGGTGTATACAGGTGGTCATTTACATCAGGGGTGGGGAAGCTGTGACCCTCTGATTGTTGTTGGACTTTGAGGAGCATCCGATGGTGTCCAAGGATTGCATGCCATTATATTCATTCATTCATTCAATTTATATCCTGCCTTTTTCCTACAAAGGGCTCAAGGCAGCTTACATCATTCTCCTCCTCCATCTTATCCCATTATATGCCAGTGCAAGGGCGATGGGGCAAGTCAGTCACCAAAATGAACTAGATTTTCCCATTGTGCCAAGTGTTGGCTTGTGCTCGTGTCAAGATAGTAGCACTAGACCTGAGGCACTGTTGGGTACTGCCCTGTGACTTGCATTATCCCTGACCATTGGCCCTACGTGCTGGGGCTGATGGGAGTTGCAGTCCAACAACATCTGGAGGGCCTCCGGCTCCCAGCCCAGATTTACAGGGGTGGCAGGTTACCACATTGTATGTTCCTGGCAACCATTGAGGAAAATGTCTGCCCAGGTTTATCTCCTGGTGTAACCATGTGAGCAATGCTGCTCATCACTAAGCGGCATCACACGGACAGCTCTCTTCCAAGTTGCCACTTGCTTCCTGAGACAACCTACTGCCTGGAAACTAATAGAATTATATGTATGATTGTCTTTTGCCATGGATTAGTCTAGCAATCCCCTGTTGCCTGTTGTCGTAGAGGGGGATTGTCCATGGGGTTTGCTGCAGTTGGGAACCTGTCGGTATTGGGAACCTGGAGGAAGAGGATGAATGTATCATATACAGAAAATCACTACATGAAATTGGAATTTTAAAATTTACACTTCAGGATGGTAGAAGTAAATTGTTCTGGCAAATTAAAAAGAAAAAGGCATGCCTATGTTTTTCTAACTGCTTGTGGGATATCCATGCTGTCTAACTGGGTTTTGCCTTGTGGCATGTCCCTTTCATAGATACTTCGCTGTGTTGGATCTCAAATAATATAACTGCTGCTATTGCTGCAGAGACACATAGCAAAGAGTTTCCAAAACTCTTCCTATTAGAGATTGATAAGTTGATCCAGCCACAGAGTCACTTTCCCCCTGCTCTTCATTGCCACATGGCAGTAGTTTGTAAAGCCAAATCTGGGCATATTGAATTGACACCAAACACATAACTGAGCATATGATGAGTTAACTTTTTCATGGAAATGCAGTCATCAAAACAGCAGGGGTAGTGGGTCCTTGTAAATTCATATTGTTGCATAATTGGAAACGTGCTTAAGGTTGGGTTCATGTGCCCTGTGACAAAATGTAGAAGTAGCCATAACATGGTAAATATTGATCTGTGAGCATCTCCATCTAGCTTGATAGGTTTTTGTCTAATAATTCACAGAATCATCTTTGATTCTATTTCCCAGGAGTCTTTCAGCCTCCTTCAAATGGGCAAGTTTGGAATAGGTGGTTCAAACAAAGTTCTCTCCTCTCCCCCAATTCTCCACCATAGCAAGGTGGGAATTCCAGTCCCCAAGTCTAAATAGGGTTCTCTTTTGGAATATACTGTAACAAAAAGAAAATGTAAGCTCGGTGGGTGGACCGCATTGAGGTGGCAGGATTGTATCTGCCACAGTTCCTAGATCTCTTCACATGGATGTAATATTTGTTTGGGCAGTGTTCCCTGACCTGGTGCCATCCAAATGCTTTAGACTTTAATTTCCGTCAGTCTCAACCAGCATGGCCAAAGGTCAAGGATGCTGGGAGTTGCAGTCCAAAATTCTGGAGCACACCAGGTTGAAGGAGGCCAGTATAGGTCCTGCAGAGGTAGACCCAAGCTTCACAGTTGTTAATTTCTGTCCAGCCTGGGGAATGGCCCTATTAACCTGATCCAAATATGAGGCATTTTAGCCACCTATGCCAATAGTGTGTCTTCATGTGGCTGGCCAGTGGGCCCAGAGGTGTGGTTCAGGCATGCTTGTTGCGTGGACCTGGTTCTCCCATGCAAGTGGCTCAGACTGGGTCTATAAAGGTAATTGATTACAGCCGTGCTTGTATTATGTCCTCTGCAGGGGGTTGGACTCAATGGCCTTCATGGCCACTTCCAACTCTTCTATGATTCTGTGCCAGATGTAATTAAACCAAAGACGAAGCCACATAACTCCAGACACCCATTCTTAAGGTCCCTCTAATGCAGAAGTTAAATTTCCAGTTCTATACACGATACAATTGGTTAAAACTTCATCCTGATACTTTAAAAAATATTCTGCACATTTCTGGTAGTGAATTCATTTGGGTTACCCCCCCCCCCCACCGCCCCAGCTGAGCCATTGCTTTCTGCACACCTGAGGTACAGAACTCTAGTCCAGAGCTCAACTCAAGTCCTCGCGGGGTCCAGATCTGGCCAAACCACTTCCCCATGTCCCATCTCTTTGCTCAGCTACCAATCTTCAGGTGATTTCCCAACTTTTGTGCAGTTTTCCCCCATTCTAAAGCGTTGAAACACCTCTCTGAATGTTTAGTGGCTGGCAGTAGGAGCTTTAAGCTACAGTATGTTGCTATTTTGGTTTTGCCTGTAGGTCTACCCAGCCCTGGAAAAAAAAGCTGCATCAAAATGGACTCTGGCCCTCAGACTGAGTGAGGTTCACAAACTACAGCTTGGTTCTGCGTGGTTGCAAGAAGTTGCTTTCTTTCAGTGACGTCAAATTGCCGTATTTGTTTTGATTGCATGGTGATCGAGCAAATGTGGCTGCTGGAATGTCTATCTGCTTGGAGAGAATCATGTAGCATCACTCTTAAAACCCAATTAAACCACAATCTACAGGACAATTTTAACACAAAGTCTCTGCACAAGTCTGAATCGATTTTTTAAAAAACGATTCAGCATGTATCCAGAATGTGAACCAACATAGTTGACTTCCATTCACTCTGAAAGATTTTTCAGACCAATTGTAGAAATGTCTTTGTGAGATCAGTAACCAGATGTGTTTATTGTGGGGGCTGGAGGTGGGGGAGAATCGGCATGTGTTGATTTCAGCCTGAGGAAAATTCATCCTGCAGATCAGCTCTGGGGCTCTTTCACACAGAACTTGTGGGCAAAACAAGGTCTGTCTGGGGCTTTGTGCTCATTAAGAAAGTAACCAGTCACAACTCTCTGATGAGTGCATTAGCATGTTCTGCACACCACACTCCGTTTTAAAGCATACACTCCAAGTTGTAATATGTGAGTGGCCCTTGAATAAGTTGAAGAAAGCATTTTCTCTGAATGTTTACAGATAACTCTTTTTTAAATGTACAGGTGCAAGATGCTACTGATTTTTCATTTTGCTACGTCGATGCTAGTTCGTCTGCTCTTTCTTGGAATCCAGCAAATGTATACATGACTTTGCAGCTGTAAAAAGTACATTAACTACCTGTTCACTTTCTGATGTGCCCCTTGCTGAATTGTGCCTAACAATTTGCTGTTACGCTGCTGAAAGTTTTTTCTGCTGTTCAAAAAAGAAATAGAAAAGTTCACAGGATCATTGATTTCATCTGCATGCGACACAAATGCAAGATGAGCAGTATCAGAGTGTAGCTGAAATTCAACTGTGTATAAATGAAAACTGTTTCACTGAGTTTTAGATATTTAGTTCTCATGTCTTTTATTGCCACATCCACTTTTGAATTCTGTATAATTTTCAGATCCATCATTCCCTTCAATCCATAGATCATGGGGTTCCCCCAATGTCTTTTGGATTTTTTTTAATGGTAATTTATTTCCTTTGGTTGATAGGCAATTTATCTGTACATTTTTGTTCCCAAGTGATGTTGTGGATGTCTTTCAAAACAAATAAATGGTTATTTTATATAATTTTATCATACATTTGCTCTAATAAATTGTTCTTTTTTGTTTTCCATGAGATGGTTCATATATAAAAAGTATTTATGGACTCTTTTCTACATGTTTCAGTCACTAAATTGAAGTTGATGCTAATGAGGGTGGGGACATAGAAAATATCAGTTCTAAGAAGATAGACAAAGTAGACAAAACTGGGTGGGGGTCCAATTTGTGGCTGAAAAGCTTGTGTTCAAGCTGCACATGTCCCATACACCACAGCTGACGAAGCTCTCCTGGCCCAAGGCTGGAAGAACCTCTCTAATGCTAGGTAAGAATGATGGCAAAAGGAGGTGTCTCCAAAAATGACAGGACAGATTTGTTTGTTTGTTTATTAATTATAACTTTTTTATACTGTCCTATCACAAAAGTCCCAGGATGGTACTACAAGAAGACTTAAAATATTGGGAAAATAAAAAGATTTGGGCCTGGCACCAAAAGAAATAAAATGTCAGTGCCAGGCAAACCTCTCTGGGGAGCTTGTTCCAGAGCTGGGGTGCCACCACAGAGAAGGCCCTTCTCCTGGTAGCCACTCCTCTGATCTTCAAAGGGGGCTCCCGAAGAAGGACCTCCGGCCCAGATCTTAGTGGGTGGTCAGGTATGTATGGAAGGAGATGCTCCTTCAGATACTCAGGTTCCAAGCTGTTCAGGACTTTGTAAGTCATCACCAGCACCTTAAATTGGGCCTGGACTTTAATTCGAAGCCAGTGCAGATGGTAAAGGACTGGTGTTATATGTGTCTTATCTGCAGGCCCCTGTTAGCATCCTGGCAACTCTTCTGAACCAATTGAAGTATCCAGACTATCTTCAAGGGCAGCATATTTTAATTAAAGCACTTATCACCAGTAATTAAGGCTTTGGGGAGTCATCTCAGCCTTTTACAGTAGGCCAAACCTGCAAAAGCCAAGAAACCAGGGAACTAAATAGAAACATAGAAACAGAGTGAGTCAAAAGGGGTCTCCCGGGCCATCTAGTCTGACCCCTGGCTCCAGCTGGCTCTGCTCATGACATGCCCACCATGTGCATGTCCAGCCTATCTTGAAGGAGAGGGCATGGCCTCTTGGCAAAATCCTGAGGGCTGAATTGGGTTCCTGGGGTGAGTCCAAGTTGCACCACATTCTGAAGTTCAGCACCCCCAGTAACAGTGAACTCGATCCCCATATCCGAAAACTGCCACCCACATCAAAGGGGCAGGTGATAGAAGCAGCCTTGAAGAAGCCCAGAAGTCAGACTAGCAAAAATAAAATGTCTGCAAAAATTGTCATGAGAGCCCAGTGAAGGACTGAGCATGCTCAGTTGTCAGGGGATGCTGACTGGGGAGGGGGAATGGAATATCTGGGGAAAGAGCATTTATTTATTTAAAACATTTCTATGCTGCCCCCATCGCAACAAAGCCTCGGGGTGGCTCACAACATACATAAAAATACAATCAATAATTTAAAAACTGGTACCATCTCAGCTATATATTAAAATCTATAAATACAATAATAATAACAACAGTTAAAATAACTTTTAAATAAAAAGGTCTTCGCCTGGTGCCAAAAAGCAAATAATGACGGCGCCAGGCGGACCTCTCTGGGGAGCGCTTTCCATAGGCGGGGCACCACCGCAGAAAAGGCCCTCCTCCGGGTACTCACCCTCCTAATATCCTTCACGGAGGGTTCCCAGAGAAGGGCATCCGCTGCCGATCGTAGAGGGCGGGCAGGCAGGCATATATGGACACAGACGTTCCTTTACATATGATGGCCGAGTGGAGACCTGGAGAGGAGCATTTCATCCATGCTGCAACATTTCGTTGCAGATCCCACCTGATTCCTCACCTTGACTGCTTTAACGTTTTTGGCACCTGTTGTCTGTCCTCTTTCCTGCTCTCTCTCTGCCAGGGTCACAGACGCCTTCCCAGAGCCTTGCATTGGTTTCCTGCCCTATCCAACAGGGATATGTTTGGAAAGCCAGCTTGGGTAGAAGGTGCCAGCCAAAAAGAATGAGCCTTGTCATGGCAGAGAACTTGGAAGCAGCTGGCTTTTTCTATTGTGCAAATCGCAACATGATGGGAGCCTTGATGCCTGCAACGTTTGTCTTTGTCCCACAATTCACTGTGCTGAGCAGTTTGACCACAGACAATGGCAGGACAAAAGACAGATACGTGCGCCACTCAGAAACTGTTTGCTGTCTCAAGTGTAGCGTGTCTTACAGATTACTGTCGCCAGACAGTTCTTTTGGTCTCCAGGCACTTATTTATATCTAGTGATTGTGCGATTTTGGTCTTAAAGGGGAAGTTCGCTGGTTGGACACGTAGGAGGAAAAACAAAGCATTCTTGTGGTGAGCCCCCCTCTGCAGCAGTTTCTGAGTGTTGCTGCAGCCTGATCGCACCCAAGAGGACTGAAAGCCTCAGGTGGAGCTCGCTTCCATGATGGTGAGCACTTTTTATTTCTTTTGAACTGGCCATAGATAGAAACATAGAAACAGAGTGAGTCGGCAGGGGCCTCCCGGGCCGTCTAGTCTGACCCCCGGCTCCGCTCACAACATGCCCACCATGTGCATGTCCAGCCTACCTTTGAACACCCTCACCGATGGGGCCTCAGCGATGGTTGCTTTGAGAATATAGAGCCACGGCTCAGCGGCCAAGCATCAGCTTTCCACACTAAAAGTCCTGGATTCTGTTTTGACCATCGCTAGTTAAGGGTGGGGGGGACTTGAGTCCCAGGTATCGGAAAAGAAATCACCGCCTGAGATCATGGAATAGTGTTGACAGCTGGGGTGGACCATACAGGCGAAACCAGGGCTGAGCAGCCTTTTCAGGCCCAAGGACCACCTGTGGTAACAGACAGGGTGCCAGGGGCTGCACATGTGTGCTCAAGGATGTAAGTGCAAGTGTGAGCACACACCCATTCACATGGGCTTGCTCTTCCAGCCCATGGGGTGAGAACAGAGATAATGGAAAGGTTTCCCTTGCTCACAGTAGCAAGGAAGGGACTGTAGCTCAGCATGGAGAACCTGCAGGGCATGTGGTCTGAGCCCTGACCTATCCAGGCAGGGCTGGAAAAATCTCTTGCCTGAAGTCCCAGAGAGCTGGGCTGCAAGGACCAACTGGCTGACTCAAGGTATGGCAGCTGCCTATGTTCCTACATCCCAGACAAGCATCGTCAGGGAAAACTAGGTGGGTGCAGGGACTAGGCCCACTTCTCCAAAATAGAGCCTTCCAAAGTTGTAACCTCCGAATCTGGATCAGTACTGGAGGAAGATCTGGGGCTGGAGTTCTTTGCTGAAGTGCCAACGCCAGCATGCCCAGCAATAAGCCAAGAGATGCTTTCTTTCACTGCCTTTCTGTTCTCCAGATTGTGAAAAGGACCCTTACAAAAGTACTGAAATTTCCCACAAGTGAGCAAAAGGGCATTCATGTGGTAAGTACTGGAATAAAACCAGGTTGCAGGAAATAAGAAGCTTGTCATAATTGCTTTTAAAATTTAAATTCTTTCTTGGCCACCTTTAAGGGCAGCAGCCTTAAAATAAAATTCATATAAAAAAAGGGATGTAGTAATGAAAAGAAAGTATTTTAAAAAAAGGAACTAACACCAGCATAAGACAAAACATGCAACTCAACTGCTGGTACATTTTAGTCTGATAATGCATAACTGTGGGGAGGGCAGTATAAAACATAGCAGTTTTCAGAGTTTTCTTAAAAGCCTGCAATAACAGGGCCTGCCAGAGCCCTGCCCCCTTCCCAACCGAGAACTTATTTGTGTACAAATGTGAAAGAAATATGGGGTTAAACGACTGAGAGGGTTGTATGATTCCAGAGTGGGGCAACTGCGGAAAAGACCATCCTTGTAAGCACCCATCTACTGCCCTCAAAGGTGTGCATGTGAAAGGGCCTCTTGCTGATTTTTATATGGGAGAAAGTGATCCTTCAAGTACTGTGGCCCCAAACCATTTAAGATGTAAGGTGCAATCCAAGCCCATTAAATCGGGCTCAAAAACACTCTCGTAACCAGTGTGGCTGGCACAGTGCCCGGGCAATGTGACAGCATAGCCCCTCTCAACCCTTGGATAGCTGCATCCCGCACCAGGGGATGTTTCTGCACCATCTTCAAAGGCAACTCCCTGGGCAACGCACTGCAACCCTAGTCCAGCCTGGATGTCACTAGTGCAGATAGGGCTGCGGTGGGCATCCCAGGCTATGCTGTAAACCATATGGTCCGCAGCTTAGGAGTACTCCTCGACCCGGAGCTTTCTTTGGAAGCTCAGGTGACAGCGGTGGCGAGGAACGCCTTCCTTCAGCTTCGGCTGATTAATCAGCTGCGCCCCTACCTGGAATACGACTGCCTGGCGACGGTGACACACGCGCTGGTGACTTCCCGCCTAGACTTCTGTAACGCGCTTTACGTGGGGCTTCCCCTGAAGACAGTCCGAACACTTCAATTGGTGCAAAATAGAGCTGCCAGGTTGCTGACGGGGACGGGGCGTTATGCTCACATGACTCCAGTCCTCCATCAGCTTCACTGGCTTCCCATTGAAGCCCGGGCCCAATTCAAGGTGTTGATTATGACCTACAAAGCCCTAAACGGCTTGGGTCCTGGCTACCTGAACGAGTGCTTACGTCCGTATATGCCCGGCCGCCCTTTGAGATCTGTGAGAGAGTCCCTTCTCCGGGAACCCTCCATGAAAGAAATTAGGAGAGTAAGTACCCGGAGGAGGGCTTTCTCTGCGGTGGCGCCCAACCTATGGAATTCACTCCCCAAAGAGGTCCGCCTGGCACCGTCGTTACTGGTTTTTCGGCGCCAGGTAAAGACCTTTTTATTTAAACATCATTTCAATTGTTAAAACATATGATCTGGCCTGGGCAACTTCTTCTTCCTTCTCTTTCTCCTCCTATATTTTTATTTTATACTGATAATTTTAATTTTGTATTTGTAAATCAATGTATTTTTTGTATTGTTATATTTAATGGTAATTTATTATGTACTATTGTATTTCAATGTATTTTATCATGTTGTAAGCCGCCCCGAGGTTTCGGCAAGGGGCGGCATAGAAATGTTATAATAATAATAATAATAATAATAATAATAATAATAATAATAAGTATACATCCACTTTGGCCTTATGCAGTGCAGCTGGAAGGCCAGGAAACATTTATTTATTTATTTATTTATTTATTTAGAAAATTTCTATGCCGCCCCATTCGCCGAAGCCTCGGGGCAGCTCACAACATAAAATTAAAATATAAAACATTCAAATATACAACAAATTAACAATATAAAATAAGTCACCCTGGCCAAAGAATTAAATAAATAAATAGTATTAACAGTTAAAATGACGTTTGAATAAAAAGGTCTTTGCCTGGCGCCGAAAAACAAATAACGACGGCGCCAGGCGGACCTCTCTGGGGAGCGCATTCCATAGATTAGGCGCCACCGCAGAGAAGGCCCTCCTCCGAGTACCCACCCTCCTGATTTCCTTCACGGAGGGTTCCCGGAGAAGGGCCTCTCCCACAGATCTCAAGGGGCAGGCGGGCGTATATGGACTTAAGCGCTCCTTCAGGTAACCAGGAATGAACATATGCTCATTCTCACACACAAAGACAATCCTCTTGCACTGACACTCGGCATGCTGGTGTGGAGAGGAGCCTGTGATTGCAAGGTGGGTCCTCGCACTGCTAGCTGTCCTCGTACTAATAGCAGCGTGTTTAGAATAGCTTGATAAATCCCAGGTGTTTTGCAAGTTTGAACCAAGTTTCTTGTAATTCCTATGCTGCATCGTCTTCCCATACTCTGAGTGAGTTCCATTCATGTCAACAGGTTAGAATGTGGTGACTTCCCTTCATGGGCAATCTGTGTTAAACAGAACCAAGTTTAGGATTTTGGTTGCTTTTGCATTTTGGGAATGATAGTTGTGCATCCACACACAGAGCACTTTGGCACAAGAACAACCATTGCCTTCCTTATTTTTCTTGCAAGTCAGAAAAGCAGTGGACTGAACAAAGGACCATTTTAGTTCTCAAGCTCAAAAAGGGTTTCATTTACTCAAAAAGAATGAAACTTCCTTGGCCTTCAGTATCTATTACATGGCAGGTGGATGGGACTTCCTCTTTATATTTTCATCATAGTAAAAGCACAGTATAGTATAATATAGCACTACAGAAGGGCAGCCAGGCCTGTTCCTGTTGAGCCCAAATGATAATACTGAGATTAACTTCCAAACTGAAAGCATAATTTTCCTGCTTTCCTCTTCCCTCTCCATTCTCTCTTCCTTTCGTATCCTCTCTCTTAGATTGCAAACCTGTGTACAGGGGCAGTCTTGTCTTTCAAATCTCAGTACATTTTAGGTGCTTTGTAAGTTAACAACAACCATGTATGTGTCTCAGATATTCGTAACTCAGAGGGCTACAAATATCTAATATAAGGTGTGAAACAATTTGCCCCTGCTCCTTTTGCACCCTGCATTTTATCCAGGTGGCCGTCAAGATGTAATGCTGGCAAGGGGTACAGAGGGAGGCAGGGACACCAAATGGAGCCCCGCAGCCCAGCATCCTGCCTTCAGCAAGCCTCTTCTTTTTCCTCGGAGGCCCAGTTGCGACCTCGTGGAGTAGGGGCGGCCAGGAAAGCTCTTTCTGTGACAGCTGTGAGGGGCTGGGGGCTGGGCCTTTGGAGTCCAAGCACTGAGGATGAGGACCTTCCAGCTTGGACTCTGAAAAAAATCCCTTGGTCTCCCAGATAATGCCCAGAGGGCATAGGATTGCGCTCTTAATCTCAGCAGTGGGGCTAATGATGCTGGCTGCAGGGTTGCTTTAAGAATTATTCTGGCCCAAATTAGATGGGACAGGACAGCCATGTGCCTTTTTCGCAGAGAGAGTGGGATGGAGGTGCAAAGAAAGGCCAACCAGTGATGGAGCTGCTGAAGCTATTTACATTTGGTGTTGTTCAGTTTGAGAAAAAGGAAATGAAAGAGATATGAAAGAGAACAGAGAACCTTTGCACAAAGCAGAGTTAAATTATGGATTTTACTTCCATAAGATACAGTGATCACCTTTACAAGGGGATCACACAAATTCATAGAGGAGAAGACAATTGATGGCTACTAGTCCTCATGACTGGATGACAACTCCAGTATCAGGGGCAGGATACTAGGTGCTGGGGAACCTGGGCGGGAGGATGCTGTTGCACTGATGTCCTGCTTGCGAGTTCCTGGAGGCAGCTCACTGGCCTCTGTGTGAGCAGGATGGTGGACTGGATGGACCCTGGGTCTGGTCCAGCTTGGTCCTTCTTATATTCACATCTTTTTAAGTTAGCTGTCTTACCCTGTATATGGAAAGGAGCGCGTAGAGGAGGGGAGCAAAACCCCTCTCTCCTTTGAATACCTTCTGCCATGAGCTAGCCGCCCCATCCCAAACGAGATGGACACATCAGCAATTATTGGAAGAGTCTTTATTCCATGCAGAAACAACGTATTCACAAGCCTTGGAACACACGCTCCAGGTGGAAAGTTGACCCCTCGCTCTGCCCCTCTCGCCCAAAGCTTTGCTTATGAACCCTTTGGGGCAGGTCTCTGGAGGGGGGATGCTATGGAAGCGGGCACGCCGACGTTCTTCCCATTGAGCCCCTAACTGGTCTAGCCGGCGGGTGCGTCAATGGGCCCTTGCATCCGTGTCTCCTGGGGTGTCAAGCTCTCCTCCCAAAAGCCCCTCCCCAGCCTGTTCCCCGCTGGCTTCTTTCCCACAACCAGGAGTGGGAGCGGGCTCAGTGGTTGTCCTCGAAGTGCTTTGATCCAGAGCTGGCTCGGCCTGGCTCACCGGGAGAGTTTGGGCAGCCGGGGCCTCGCTTGTCTCACCAACTCCAATGCCAGAGTGAGAACTGAGACACAGCTGGGTCGGCTGTCCACTCCCCTCCTCCGAGTCTGAGCCGCCATTCCCACCAAAGCCCTCCATCTCTCGTGTGCTCCTGGGAATCTCATCCCAGCGTGCGCACACGACACCTTCACTACATTCAGTTGCTTTAAGTAATTCTCTCCCTTCCTGATGCATTTTAGCAGCAGAACCAGAGCCTGGAGTGGGGAAGGGGCGAGAAAGAGGAGGATTCACTTTTTCACCCCACACACTTCTTTCATGTGAAAGTGCCCAGGCCTGTCTGCCTCCACACTGAAATGCTGCCTGTGAAGCACTTAGGAAGCAACGATCTGTTCAGGCATTCCCAGTGCCCAAGGTGCTGCAGTTCCGTAATTTCAGCCTTCGAATTTAATGATCTTAGGGTGGGAGTACTAATGTGTAATACAGCCTACCCTAACCTGCAATGTGCCAGATGTTCTGGGCTGCAGGGGCCAGCATTTCTGACCACTGGTCATGCCAGCCACAGCAATTGGTAGTAGAAGACCAAGAGCTCTGGAGGGCACCAGGCAGGGAATACAGGTGTCTTACCTCAGCATTTGGTAAGCCAGCCGTGCTGCATTCTTGGAGTCCTCCTGCTCATTCTGCTGCCCAAAGGCCTGACCAAAGGGTACGGCTGTTGCATGTTGACCAAGAAAAATACAAGTTTTCTGACCTGACAGGCCTCATTTTATGCGATTTCTTCTTCCACTCCAGGTGTTTGGGCTGATTGCACTTGCTGGGCTTCTTGCTGTGATAATAATTCACCTTGAAAACCCCTCTATTGCAATCGTTTCAAGCGTCGAAGACATACTTCTCAGCAGGGACTTCCACAACAATGATGACTGGAGCACTGCGAAAGAAAGAAGGGCCCAGATGGGCAGCCGCCTGGACTGTAACGATTCGTGCACGTAAGCGAACCAGAGTGTAGTGTCTAGCTTTGCATAGTCTTTTTGGCCCAAGAATGTTTCTTTTGATTTTTCTTTAAGCCTTTTAAATGTAAATGTGTGACTCTGGAAGATTATTATTATTACTTTTATTTTAATTTTCAGTACAACTATACAATAAAAACATTTATTTATTGGATTGATTGGTCATCCTCCAACAAATGGCTCTCTGGGTGACATGCGCTAAAAACAAATACCATCACCCTACACTAGTGGTGCAAGCCCATGGTCTTCCCACGTTGTCTGGGAGACCATAAAAATTTCTGGTGTCTGCAGACTGAGGTCCTCCAACCTCAGTGCTCAGACCCCCGAGGCCAAAGCCCAGCCCCGCTGCAGCCAGCCAGCGTGGAAAGGATGAGCTCCACCTTGCCAAGGTTGCGGGGAGTGTGGGGGGGGGGGGGGGGAATGGGGCATGTCGGGGGGCACGGAGGGAGGAGGCTGGGGCCATGGAACTGAGCTTGGGCCCTGGCCTCCTTCCTTTGTGCAGATTGCAAACACTCTGCAATACTATATGTACAGGCACAAGCTCAGAGGCATTCACATGACACAGGCTAGATCGTGAACACTGTTCCTGAAATTGATCATTCCTCAAAGTGGCAAAGGCAACCTATTTCTGGATGCCTAACTTCTGCATTTTCTTAGCTTCTTGAATTTGGATGTCCATTTTTTAAAAATAAATTTTATTATTTTCTCTACAATCTAACAATAAAAACAGCAATTATTTAAGACATTGGACATACTGGGTTGACAGCTTACTCTTTTTAACAATCAGTAGCCATATTCAGTTCGACGCATAGTCCCGTTTCTCTAACCAATAATAAAAAGAGTTCCAAGTTTGAGAGAAATATGTATCCTCCTTTTCCTTCAGAGACAAGGTCAATCTGTCCATTTCTGCACAGTCCAAAATCTTTTTTGATATCAAGATGTTCATTTTTTTGTAGGGTAAAACATATTTACAATGTAAATCCTACAACATCAGTCAGGCAGAAGTGGAGCCGTCTGTCTCAGCACAAGGCAATAGACTTTTTGACTGATATTAACACATTGGCCACCATTTTTATAACTGCCGTGAGACACACGTTTATGAGGAACGTCGTAAGTAAATGAATGGTCTGATGTAACTAGGTCAGCACAGACTAAGTCCAAGCACAAAGTAAAGCAAGCCACAAATTTTGGCTGCACAAAGCCCAAAAAGTGGGGCAAAAAGAACGTGGCTGTGGTTCGGCTGCTTCTAATGGCGAGGCCTTCTCTGAGGAACCATTAGAAGAGTCTTCTTCCCCTGAAGAAATTTGGTGAAATGGCCCCCCAAATGTTCTGCCTATATATAGGGTGGGGAATTCTGAGAGGGCATTTGACTCCAGTCCTCTGTCAGCTTCACTGGCTTCCCATTGAAGCCCGGGCCCAATTCAAGGTGTTGGTGATGACCTATAAAGCCGTAAACGGCTTGGGTCCTGGTTACCTGAAGGAGCGCTTACATCCATATACACCTGCCCGCCCGCCCCGTGAGATCTGCGGGAGAGGCCCTTCTCCAGGAACCCTCCGTGAAGGAAATTAGGAGGGTAGGTACTCGGAGGAGGGCTTTCTCTGCGGTGGCGCCCAATCTATGGAATGCGCTCCCCAGAGAGGTCCGCCTGGCACTGTCGTTATTTGTGTTTCAGCGCCAGGCGAAGACCTTTTTATTTAAGCGTCATTTTAATTGTTAACAGTATTTGCTTATTTTATCTGGCCAGGGTGACTTCTTTTTTATTGTTATTTTTATATTGTTATTATTGTATTTTTCTTCATGTTGTGAGCTGCCCCGAGGCTTCAGCGAATGGGGCGGCATAGAAATGTTTTAATAAATAAATAAATAAAATATTTTGCATGCAACTTATTTAGCTTCCCTTGGCACTGCAGGTTTCAGCTTGTGGAAAGCCTTCCATGGGACATGCCGTTTCAGCCAAACAGCAGTACTGTAAAACCTCTCTACCAAGCATGGATGGAGCTCTTAACTATGGCCCGGGAAAGTGTGCACATGGCATCTTACTATTGGACTCTGACAGGAGAAGATCTGGGTGTAAATGACACATCGTCCAAACAGGTGAGAGACAAGAGGGTTGTGATCAATGCAGCAGTGGTCAGCGAGAGCCACGGATGCTGTCAGGGTCTGCACTGGGGTGTGTGCCACACAGATGCCAACCCACAAACAATTCCCAGCGTTCTGCTTCAGAGTGTGATGTCTCTTGTTCCTATGCTTACCGTCACTGTGGAATTCAGCTGGGAATAATTGGTATAGAAGAGAGCAGTTTCTCTCAAGCTTTTCCTCTCTGTTTTTTTCTGAAGACATTTGTGACTTTTGACAAATCCTCATCGAAAACAATCTGTAACTTTTTGAAATCCTTACCTAGTTCTCTACTGCCGCAAGCTAAGCCAGCTTGGTTTCTCCTGCCATCTTGTGCCCAAAGCCTAGCCAGAAAGCTCCCCAAACACAGCATCCCCTACTGCAGAACAAATATTCCCACAAGCTACCCCATGAACACATCCCTACCTTGTGAAGCCACCATGCTGTCATCCACCCCTCGCAAATATGGCCGGGGCCTCTGTCACCCTCACCCTACACGCTTAGATCCTTTGGCTCATGGGGCCATGGCTCAGCCGTTGTGTAAAGGACACCCAACACAAAATGGACTGGCGGTTACGTTCCCAGTGCTTAAGACCAAGGCCTACAGCAAGGTAGGCATGGCCAGGCACCTGCCAAGGCCCACGCCCCAGCGGTGGCCCACTGAAAGCAGCCCCCTGAACTTGCGCTTCCTCTTCATTATGGCAATCCACTTGTTCATCTACAGGTCCAGAAAACAATGGCAGGAAAAGTAGGGATGTGTGGGAGTTCATTTTGGGGGTGGGATTCCAACAGCTCCCCTGGGCTCAGCTTCCCAGACTCTGGGCAGCTTTCTTGTGGCTGTGAGCTTGACTTCCTGCTCAGCATGCTGAGTGGCCCTCAGGTGGCCTCACCAGGGCTCCTGCCTGTGCGACTGCTGTGCAAGCAGCCTCCCTCTTCCACACATGACTTGCAGCCTTGGCTTGTGCTGCACGTGATACAGAAGAAGGTTGCTGGTTGTGCATCTGGAGTTCCATGAGTGTTTGTGGACTTCCTCTTGGCTCAGGGTTGAACACAAGAGGAAGCCCATGAACTGAAGAGGGTTCGATTTAAGAGAGCTTCACTTCAACAATGGGGGGGAGGAGGAGCAGCAGCTGCCACTGCCTCGATGTTTACTGGCTCTCTGCCTCTGCACCTGAAAAACAAGAAACTGGGAGCAACGACGAGGGAGAAAAAAGCAGCCGCAGGAGCTGCTAACAATGGTGGTGGGTGGCACTGAAGAAGAGGGCCTGAGGGTCCGCAGAAACCTGGAGGTGCAAAGAGCTGCTTGGTATATCCCAGCATCTTGTGGAGGCACCGAGAAATGGTTTTGCTCATGTTGAGGTATTTATTTATTCATTCATTTATTACTTTTATATGCTGTCCTTTATGCATAACATCTCAGGATGGCTTACGACGATTAAAATAAAAATCCAATAAAAGAATCGATATTACAATATAATAAAACAATATAGAACCAACAAAATAAATTGAATCAAAAGTGACTGTTAAAACCATTAAAATACTAATTTTTAAAATAACACTTGAATAAAAAAGTTTTGACCTGGCACTGAAAAGAATACAGGCTTGGCGCCAGGCGAGCCTCTCTGAGGTAGCTCCGCCACAGTCGTAAGCACATCAAAAGAGCCATAAGCGCTCATAAGATCAGACCAAGTATCATCTAGTCCAGCATTTTCTTCACACAGTGTCCGACCAGCTGCCCATGGGAAGGAAACCCATGAACTGGACAGGAGTGCCCCAGCACCCTCTCACCCCTATTCTTTAGGAAGCAGAGTAGATGGGCAAAATGCCTCTGACCAAGCCACCAGAGCTTGATCCCTCATTAATTTGCCCAGTTCCCTTTTAGAGCCCACTAAAGGGGTGGCCATTGGTACATCTTGTGGAAATCATGTCAAGTGCACAAGTTGCTATGAGAAAAGTTGTCAGGAATAGAACCAAACACAGCTTCCTAATTCCTCAACACAGAGAGTTTCTTCATGTCCACACTATTGTAAGCTGTCCAGAGATGACAGTGATAGATGGCCTAGAAATATCCTAAATAAATAAAATAAAAATAGCCCCAGCCCCTCAGCTGGGATGGCGGAACTGGCACAGAATGGGTGGGGAACAAATCTGCCTCTCCTGGATTCCAATCTGGCCATTTATTTACTTATTGTTTGTGTTTATATCCAACCTTTTTCCTGCAAGAAACCCTCCACCTCCTTCTCTTTCTTTCTATGTTATCCTCACATGAGCTCTGTGAGGCAGGTTAGCCTGGGAGTCAGTGCCTGGCCCTGAGTCACCCAATGAATTGAAGAACTATGAACATTTGACATGTCACGGACGCAGTCCATTTCATGGGCTCTGCCTGTGGTTAAAAGAAGTGATTAAACTTGTTCCAGACTGTGGACTTCCTGCATGCATTTGGCTGACCATTCATGGAAAAAGTGCACTGGACCAGAAAATTTGAACTAGGAGGTTTCCTTGTAGTTTCTCTTTGAAACAGATCCCTCTACAGCCTCTTACATTCCTCTTCCTCAGCCTTATGGTCCAGATGTTTTGCCATGCTGGCCAGTGCTAATGGGAATTGAAGTCTAAACTGTGTGTGTGGGGCGGGTGGGGGGGACACCAGATTGAAAATGATTGCTTGAGAGGGAGGGATAAGCAGAGTCAGAGCAAGTAATTTAGAACATGCGCAGAGTTGTCCTATGACTTGCTGACCATGCATGATACAAAATAAGTGGTTTGACTTCTGTAGGGTGAAGATGTTTTCAAGAAATTTGAAAGTCTGCTTTTGAAGAATGTCTCCATGTTTATCGTAACAAATGTGCCACCTAAGGTTCAACACTCAACTGATCTTGAGATCCTGGAGGAAAAAGGTAATTGATTGTCTGCTTTTGAAAATATTTCTACCCTCCCTTTTGGTTTTGTGGATAACCCTTCCATCCTACCACACCTAACAACATAAGGTAGTATCCTATGGTGCTTGTGTGCTCACGAGATCAAGTGCTTGTGCAGTAGGATTTCTGTGGTTCTAAAAACAACACAAAACAAAAATTATGTAGTTGGGCAGGCCAGCAGAGCTCATAGAAAGCCTCTGCTTGTTTCCAGAGTAATTTTTTTGTAGTGAAAAAGCCCTGTTGTGTGAGCAGTACATCTTTGAATGCAATGGAACCAATGCAGGAACAGCAGCCCTGTTGGATGCTGCCCAGTAAAACAATTATTATTATTATTATTATTATTATTATTATTA